AGACTCTGAAGCAACATCACCTGCTACTATCGACGACGACTTCCACTCCATACTTGCCGAACCAATTGAGTTTCACCAGCGCCATAATTCAGCTGCAAGCACAAGCACAGCGACTGCCAGGAGTTTTCGGGAATTGCATCGGAAATATTCCTCCCAGCACTCAGACAAACCTCCAAACCTTGCTGCCAATGTAGATGACGACGACGAAGCGGCAGTAAGTATGTCTGACGGCCGACGAAGCCCATTACCCCCGGTCGAAGACGAAAACGAAGACGAAGATTCAAGTAGTAATGACAGAACAAAATTCTACACACCAGATCCCTCACCTCGTGTAGCCGAGTTTGATGAGCATTCGCTAGTTGAACCGAATCCACAGCACGAAATCGAACACATCGATTCGAACGAGCGGCTACCAAGTCCTACTTTTCAAACCGTCGGTGCTTGATACACCATGTTTTATAAATGGTGAAATACCAATACAACCTTTCCACACATCCACACCACATTTTCATATTATTGTTCTTGTCTCTTCATTTATTTCGGCGAAATTAAAGCATAGCGCGCATGCAACTATTCTAACGACAATCGTTTATATATCCATTTCTTGACTTGCGGCGGGCTCTTTTACAATACCTGTGATGATTGATATTTTCGGGAAGCGGAAAGGGAAGGATCTTTTTTTCGCAAGAATTAAAAGTATTTGATAGTTCATTTTTTCGGTAGTACCTTTATAGTTTTTTACTTGGTTTTTTGTTTTGTTTTTTACTGAAGTTTACACTTGTTGTAGTGGTTATTTGGGACACATACTTTTGAAAGCATTTATAGTGCGTATGTATACTAGCGGTTGGCATGGGTAGGGATGGTGGATTGGGTGATTGGGAAGGAAAGGGAAGCAAGGGCTGTAAGATGTACTGGGTTAGGATCCATATATTTCCATGTGAAGGGGTTGTCTTATGGTATGGCACATGGTTCCGGCTGCTGAGGTTATGGGCCGGATTGGCGTTTTGGGAATGGGGATGTGTTCGCTTTTTTTAATAGAAGAGGGTGAATGTGATGGGAGGGGAAAATTGGGAGGTCTGGGGAATGGGATGATTGGAGATGATGAGGAAGGGAGAAGAAATTAGGAGTGGAATGTCAAAGTATGGATGGATCGATACTTGGTGAGAGGAAATGGGAGAGTAAGGAGGATGGAGGTGAAATGGGATCGGATGAGAGGGGTCGCAATGAAGAGAATGGAATGGTGTTGAGTTGAATTAATATCGGAGCAGAGTGGGGAAAGGAAGAAGAGAAAGGAGATAGGCGATATAAATACCAATGAAGATTCATACATGTGATCTTTTATTTGGAATGTTGATTAGTTGTGATTGTGATTGTGATTATGATTGTGACTTGTATTCATTAATTGATTGATTGTACTTTGGATTTCTTGGAAAGGGGGCCGAGAATCGATATGGAAATGGGAGGATAGATGTATATTATTTACATGTAGATTTATGTATATCTATCTATCTAGATAGGTATCGATCATAATAATAGTATATAATCTCATTTTTATAGATAGATTGCTTATAAGATCACTTTTTATGGGATTCATTTTTATCTATTTATTTATAAAGCGTATGTTTAGTATTTATTATATTTTAGGTTTACTTGTATATACTTATTTATTTATTTATAGATTTATATACTTACTTATATACTCAGTCATATACTCACGTCTCGCTATAGTCTGTAGACTGTAGACTATAGATACTTTTTCAGGAAATGCAGAGATTGGATTGAATTGGATTGGATTGCAGGGAGTAAGTAAGTAAGATTACATTACATACATAACATCACATCACATGACATGGATGTATACCTAGGTATGCATTCAAATTCCATATTCTCCCACCGCCACCGCCACATCTCCAATCTACATCTCCAATCTCCAATCTCCAATCTCCAATCTCCAATCTCCAATTCCCTCTTCTAAATCCTCTCTCTCTCCATCTCTCTACCTCTTCCCCTTCTTCTTCTTCCCCTTTGCGCCTCCACCCCCACCACTACCCGTTACAATCTTGCTCCCGGGCGCCTCAACACCCTCTAACGCATCTTCTCTCACCACGCCGCCCTGCGTCGCATCCAAGGCCTTCTTCTTTCCCTTTTTGCCTTTCGGTCTGTAGGAGCTGCGATCCTTGAGCGGTAACCACCTCTCCGGATCCATTTTCTTGCCCTCCTCGAAATCTTTGGGTAATTTCGATTTGCGCGTTCCTATCGTCTTTTGCTTCTTCGCCGGGTCTTCGTTTTCTTTTTCTTTTTCCTTGTCGTCTAGAGCGCGTTTCTTGGATGATTCGGTGGATGTGGTTTTGGAGGTCCAGGTTGGGATGCCCGAGGATTCGAGATCTTCGGCATTGATGCCGGAGATGAGTTTGGGGATGGGGGTGAGCGTGTCGATGTCCGAGGAGATTTTGGAGAAATCGGAAGATGCGTATGAAGCGACGCAACCGGCGATTGCGACGCGGTCTGTGGGATCTTGAGAGCGGAGGGAAGAGAAGATATCGCCTGCCGCTTTGGCATCTTCGGGGTTGGAAGATTCGAGGAGGGAGATACCTGCGGCGTGGAAGAGGGATGGGGAAGGTTTGGATTTCTGTCGCCAGTATGAAGCGGCTTTTTCGAGCTCGGGTCTTATAGGGGTTCTGCGACCGGTGGATCGATAGAGAGAGATGAGAAGGGCTACTAATCCTGGTGCAAATCGTACATCTTGGTCTGAGGGATTGGTAGAATCTTCTAAACGCTTAAAGAATGCTTCCAGGAGGGCAATTGCAGGGGCAGGATTTTCCGTCGATACGTAGAGTTGGACAATGGTAAGGATCAATCCAACGTCATTTGGTCGCTTCTCAAGAAGTGACAAAGTTTGCTTTAAAGCGGCTTTTCCGGTTTTGTCTTCGGCATGAGCTGCAGCGTTGAGAACCGAAAGGCCGTTGATTGATGGTGAGATAGTTGGTGATGAAGAAGCCAAGATCTTTTTTAATGTAGATTTCGCTACGCCTCCGTATTTTAACGCCTGTAACTCAACTGTGTAATGATTTCGTTCCAGAATGTTCGCTTGATGCTCAAAATGCTTCTCTCGATGCGATAAGTTGGGTACTGAGTCGAAAACTCGTTTCAAAAGGTACGGGTTATCAATTTCGGTCGATGTAGCTAATACATTATTTTGGGCGATTATTTTGGTTTGAGGTTCTGGTACACTGTAGGGGTCAGCTTCAAGCTCAGTAAACATGTTTGGCATGCGTACTCAGCGAGATTGATCATCTTGGTCAATGACTTGGCCTCTCCAGTTTTACCCAATTTGGTCAGCACATATGCCTGTTGTACCATAATGGGCAAGACTTCTGCTCTCTTTTCATCATCACTCAATTCGTCCAGAGCCTCACACAGATCCCTTGCCCGCTTTAACAGGAAATTTCCCTTGTTATAATCTCCCTTTGCGATATGCCCGCATGCAACATTATACGCTGTCTCGAATGCCTCGAAATCGTCGTTTTTGCTCTTCAATTCACTTTTCTCACCCTGCCACGCTAATTGCACATCCACAGCTAGTCCGTTGATCCTCAGATCCATTAATTCATCTCCAGCTCCCACACTTTCTGCGAGATGTTTGTAAAGTTCCTCCGCATCCGCAAATCTCTCGGCACGATATGCGACTTGCGCAGCAACATGTTTCAAACCCCTACTATTACCTCCTTCACAAACTTTCGCTGCATCTTCCAGTTTGCCTGTCTTATACAGAGCATAAGCGCGCTCCAAAATACATTGAGAAGCCAGTTTATCTCCACCATCATCGAGCGCTTTTAGTGCATCGTCGTATCGGTCGAGTTTAAGGAGGGCGACGGCGCGGGTATGTAAGGCATTGGAGTCGAACTTAGAACTCTTGAATACGTCATTTGTAGCTTTGAGTATTTCATTATGGTCCGTAATTGAGGAATCGCGAAGGAGTGCGCTGAGGGTTGCGGTATGGCTGGCCATTTTTTGTGTTAAAGTTGTTGAATGTAAGGCAATACTGTAGCCATGCAGTACGGAGATGGTGTCAACAGCTTGGGGTAGTGGGGTGCAAGGAGGGAGGTGGACTTAAAAAATAACCGACATCGATCGCCTGTTAGTGTGGCAGAATTTCACCGCTTTGTTAATCTAACCTTACTGCACGCGACACACAACCATATTCGACACGCAATTCTCTAGAGTACAGATAACAATACCCAGGAACCTTTCGATATTCTAAGTCGGATTGGACCATCAAGTGAGCTCGTAGGCTCTGCCTTATCATAGAAGCGTCGTTGAATATAAGTTACCATCATATAATGGTACCATCAGATGCCTTAAGTGTCACAAGCTTCAGATCCTCAGAAACACTTTTTAATTTCCCAGCTCAGGCTTAACCATCAGTAGCTATTGGTGTTAAACCTAGTTAGATTGATTGTTGTGTTATTTCTATTTCAAGTGCGGTTCATGTCGCAATAGTGTGTTTGGTATAGCAGCCTATTCAGAATGTTCAGGCAAAGCTTTGCAATCAAAATGTTCTACTAAATGAACTGAATGCCCAGAGGGTCGCGTCTTTCCGATGGGTTAGGAGATTCTAATCAAATCAAAGACTGTAATCGTTTGGTGATTCTACTGAGTTGAAACATTAGATTCAGCAGGTAGACCCAAATGAACTGGGAGATTAAAATTGCATGAAGCATTCAAACGAGTTGAAAGATTCAAATCGACTGGAATATAGAAATGAATTTAATTATCACAATAAAAATAAGTAAATCTGAATTCAAAGTCCATGAAGAGTTTTGTGTAGAAAACTCCAAGAGATTGCCGAGTCTGTCTAATTGAAGGCTCTTGTTCTTTTCGGCTCTAAGGGAGCATACGGTTGTGATTTCTTATGTGTTTTTACTTTGCTGCTGCAAGTTTTAATAAACAAGGGCCAAAATGTTTCACTTTACGATCATTCCGTCAAAACTTCATGGGTGCTACTGGCTCTTCATTAGACTGGTTAGTGTTTGCATTCCTAAAAGGCTTAGGTGGGCGCTGCATGATAATTTGGGCAGCGGCAGCTTGCTTTTCGTCGCGACTATTTGGCAGTCATGAAATGATCGAGAGTCCAGAGAAATTTGAGGAGAAGCTGGAGGAGCATGATCGAGATGATTAATCTCAACCCTCTGCGCTGGGCCATATATGTTACAGTGTTCTTTGGGCATTTTGGGTGGCGGTAGTTCTGCGACTACATGCTTTCGGTCAATGTCTTTTCCCTTACACTGTTGGGTGATCCGTCCTTGGTACGACAACCAAAGTCTGTCATCTGATAGTATACCAGTACATTTGCCAGCTTTGATTCCGTTGGAGGAACCCATCGCCATAGGAATTTCTCGCTTAGCAACCTCTTCCAAGGCGACATCCAGTTGTTCAACAGCTTTTCGCAATAGTGTGTCATAGGAAAAGACAAATTCCGTCTTCGGTATCGCCAAGAAGCGTCGCGCTTCTCTTACCAACGTTGAGTTGTCCCACTCAGTGTCGCCGATGAGTGCCCATTTCCCTGAATTATGGCAAGGAACAACCAATTCAACACGAAATTCAGGAATTGCGTACTTTCCGCCTTTTGTGATATTATTGGCCTCATGTAATTCACACACTTCAGTGTAAAACATCCCGTACTCAAGTTCTGGCTTTAGTTTCCCCTGTGCGTCAAGAGTCACAACGACGGAAAGTTTGAGAATTATAGTGAATAGTTTTTAGTTATGGATCTCCTCATCGCCGGTCTTGATTCGTGATGATATCACGGGCGCAACAATACGTCAGCTCCTTCTCGCATCTTGAAATTTAAATCGAGCGTCTTGGCATGATCAAAGACTTTGCCACCAAGCAATGATGTCAAGTTGTGCCAATGACCTTTGGGAAGTCTCGCCATGGTCGAATGCTTTGTGAGAAGCCTCGGACCAAGTAGCAAAATCTCCTGGAATAAATACGCTGAGGTGGCGCACTAGATTGGTGACATCCCCAACATCGTTCTTTACGTACGCGGTAAGGCAGTTCTTACTAGCCTTGTTTTGAGCATCTTCAAATATACTCATGAGATCTCCGTACGTGAACGGAACTTTTAGGAAGCTAATAGGGGTCGGACTCGCGATGGATTCGTTGACCACTGATGAGGATCTACTTGCGGTATCGGAGTGGGAGACCGGTCTTTCGTGACTATCGGTGAGAACAATGGTACGCAAGTGCGCTACATAAATGGGTGAGCACACAAGTGCTCCGCTCAAAATCTGTCTCTGTATAAAAGCTGTCTTTGTCTAAGCAGCCAGTATCATAATTATGAATGCATTCTGCATGTACATTGAGTTGAGAGCTTTCACGATGCATGAATGAGCACAAAGTTTCTATAACACGATGAGTATTCATGGTGTATATGTTAAAATTTCCGAATCACTGTGAAACAACCCTCGAGAAATCCAGCTTCCGCCCAAGAGGAACAATCCTGCCCTGTTGATCAAGTCTTAATCTTATCACTTGCATTATGCAAGATTTATGAGTCTACTACGCCACTGATGACTTGCATACTTTTTTAATCTTTTAATCTGTGCTAACCTTCCTAGAAATCAAGATTTTAATGTGTAGCCGGGACTGAAAGACACAGAATCCTCATTAAATCATGTATGGATTTTAAATCAATCTGTAGTGTCGCACGCCACATCCGTGAAACGACACTTCCATCCGATACTACAACTGCAATGATGCTGTCATGCATATCTCAAGACCTTTGCTTAAGTCTATTTGATATTTGAAATGATATTATGGAAAGATTCTATCAGAAATCCGAATTAATGCTTATGTAGAACTTTCTCCTCACTATATTCCATAGATCATCAGCTGTATAGATCGATTCAATCAAGTTTCCCGCCATTTACATTTGGGCTTAAATATTCTACTTCATTTCCTTTCAAAATCCAGTTATCACACGTTTGTCCAGCACCAAATTGCTAATTCCCAATCATTCTACGACCATGTTTTTAAATACCAAGATTTCAACCATGGGCATTGTGGCTCGTCCAATAATTTCATTGAGCTGCTAAACAGATATCTTTTCAAGCAGACATTTAGCAACGAGGAGCTCGCAAAAACTACTATGGTAGACTCGAACATTACTGCATCATGTACACACTCTGTGTTGGTTTACATAAAGCGACTTTAAATCGAATGTATTGTCTGGGTATATCTTCGCAGTCTTGACAGCAGCCTCGTGTCAAACAATGAGACCTAAGATTTCTTGGGATGTTATAGCCCACCAAACACCAGCAGTGATTATATGGCTGTGGATAATATATATACTTCTCTTCAACCTCTGCAACCAACTTGACACTTAGAATTCTATCGACGAAAATTGGAGGCCACTTCTATCAGAAAGACTGATCTTTCCAGAAGGTAGGATTTTGCTGTTTGCATGTTCTTCCACAACAATTCTTCGCAGTGCATACACGGCGGGCGTCGATTTAAGCCTCACTTGCATGGTTGCAGGTTTCTGGTACATCTTCTAGGTTGGATATGAAAACCCCATGACTAGGGAGCTTCATGATGGGGCCATGTGAAGTAATAAACGGATGTTCGCATTTTCTTCACTCTCCACAACTGTGGAAGTGAATCAAACTGGTTGCACTACAGAGCTTACGATGATGAAGCCTTGATCTTCTGACGAGAAATAACTTCCAAGGAGTGAAGTTCTACATAGAAAATGGCAAAACTTGGGAGGTTAATGAGAAAGAAGTTGGACCAACCTATCAGGGGAAGAACGGTAATCGCGTCAGACGTGATCTTGGGGAAAATTTGATCTTAGCTAAAGATAATGACCTAGCTGAGTATTGTCCAGAAGGAACAAACGCACTGTGAGAACCCTAAGCACAGATGGTTAGTTCAGAGGAACAGACGCATGATAATAATGAAGAGCAATTGTAATCAATAGCGCAATTAAGACGATTGAGATCATTAGAGGGAAGTAAAGAGAGGAGAGAGAAGTGGTCTAGATCCCGAGTAGGATTTTTTTTTTTTTAAAAAAAAGGATCATGATCGGAAGATTAATAGAAGAGATAAGAATACGCTTCCAATGTATTAATCTCAATCACAGAGAACCAAGTTAGAAGTCAACAATATCTCCCACCCCGTGTATTCCAAAACTATACATAAGAGAATAGAATTCATTCTTGCGTTGTCACTTTCACATAACATATAACATTAGATAATCCAATCGATCCACAAGCTTTTCAGTAAATCCCAGAGATAAACCTCTCATACATCACAGCTCCAAAGACTCTCCTAACAATATTACAGATCCACAAGTTCAGAATCTGTATACCTATTTCTAACAATCAAGTAATTAACGATCAGAATACGCGATAAATGACTAACTAATCTTTGCACCCTTCGTATTCACATTCTAAACAATAAAACCCGTATTTCCTTCCAAATTTATCCAAAGCTAGCAAGGGTTCTTGATTCTAAGTTCAATTAGCTCGCTTTTCACAGCTCGACCAGGCAGTATTCAACAGAACTTTCATTTCAATCCACGACATCTAATAAAAAAATCCAGTAATTCAACAAATCAAACCAATTCAAACAATCTTAAAGTTTTCCGCAAGCCCAACCCATAATAAACTTAACTTAAATGATTAATCCTTGCTAACTTTGTATACTTTTTTTTTTTTTTACAAAAGAATACTTTATACAGTACTAGTATATCGAATATACATGAGTCATGACCCTGACTCTTCGGCTGATGGAGTGGATATTCGCTAATTAAGGGGTATTGATGAATAAACGTTACAGGTTGGAAATGCTTATCAACGAAACCCATATCGCTTAGGATGAATGTGTTTAATGTTGCTACTTCTGATTGAAGAATACTGGAGCAGAAAGTGTTGCGTGTTTTGCATTCTTTTATTAAGGCTTCTAGTAAGTAGGTATGTAAATCTATTGCGAACGCGATCAGATGGGTTACTTATCCCAGCACCAATACTCCTTTCTGAAGTTTACACGATAGTATATTCCGATCATCACATGAGAATCATCACCGAGAAAACAATATCAACAAAAAATTCCGCAACCAATAAAAATATATTCATGAATCATAAACTGTTCTCCGTCCCTAGACACAGTAATATCCCCCATCAAACCCCCCAAATATCATCCTCTCATCTAAACCGCCTCATCAGCTGCCACACTCTCATAAGCACCACCATCATCCCCACCCCTCCTCATCTCCATTCTCGAAGGCGTCTCATACATTTTCGTATAATTAACCACCTGACCTCCCAACATCGCCGCACCGTTTTCTCTCTTCCCAAAAAGTGGCGCTGGATCACACCAGAAATCTTTACAGTTTCCGATGCAACCGCGGGAGAAGGGATTTTGAGGTGCCCGGCGTCTGTTTTTACTTCCTTCGTAACCATGGAAAGCGGTTTCAACGAATGTGTCCACACCGAGGATTTTCTTCCACTGTGCGAAACAGCCGGCTTTGTGAGCGTGGTGATGACCGTGGCCACCTGGTGCATGGGTTGGTGGTAAAGCGGGATCGGGACCAAGTCCAGCGTTTCCGACTTGACCCCCTGATCTTGATGTAGCGCCAGTGGTGAGAGCATTGGTAATGGCTTGGGAAGTTTTGCCTCCGGCGTGTGTACCGCGCATATTTTCCCAAGTGGTCATAGCTCTCGAGATCTGAATCAATTGGACGAATAGTAACATAGTAACCCATGTCAGTTGCAAGATTGCCCATAATACCAACACTAAAGTGTAAGAATCCGAATTAACAATTCCACATAGTGTAGGAGAGAGAAAGTTGCACTCCTGCTCGCCCTTTCCAAGGAAGCCTTCAAAGTCTTAATCTCGATTAGTATTGATTCTAGGAAAAAGATTAAATTGACACTTACATCCGATAGCAACTCTAACTAAGAAGATAATTCCGAGTTCCAAGCACACGAGATAGAGGAAGAAATGTCTATGGTTATTGACACCGACACAGTTGTTAATCCAAGGACAATGACTAGGCCATCATGTTAGTAATCCTTTTCAAGAAAAAGGTGTATAAAATGAGCTTACTGGTCATGCTTCGCTACGCATCTGTTGCATCTCCTGCAATGTTTGCTTCTCAGAGGTTGGCGAACCATGCAATGAACACAGAAATTTTGCTCGTCAAACTTCCACATACTCAATAATTCATCAATTACAGCCTTTTGCTGGGTTAAACCGCCCAGCTTTGGAACATGACCTGGCTCGTAGACCATTGAACAAAAGTAGAAATACCCAGTAAGACTGTAAAAGGCAAAAAACAACAGGTTGGAAAGAGGATAAGTGCCATAGGTAGCTAACGTTGTCAGTATAGATTCTCATAACAAAAGGGATTCTCGGTACAAACCTGGTAACAAAGTTGTCATCCATCTAACGCCAACCCAAAATAATGTAGCGGCAAAGATTCCTGCAAGCCAAGGCTAAAATTACATAATCATTAGTGTTGCTCTTGAAAGTCATGTAGAAAGTCTTTTTAGACATACCGTTTTATGTAAATGCTTCATATCTGAAGGCGCATACTCCAATACCTGCTGGGCCAACCATTGTAATGAATACCCAAAGAACAACGCCATAGGCACACCAATAAATATTACCATTTGACTACTGATCATGATCATCGTCCAAAGAATTAGAAATGGCCATAAAAAGAAGAACTTGTTCATGAATGCGCGTTTATCCTTTAACAGCCATGATGACATGGGAAAGCTGATAAGAACCGGCTTGGCATCCTCGTCGTAGCCACACTCTGTAAGAGCTTTGTGCCAAATTCTTTCCGTCTTCATTTCCTGGGCTGTGATAGCTGGGGTTTTGCCAGTCGAGGTTTCGGCAAATCTATCCGCTCCGTATTCAATTAACTTTTGTATGCATCCCTGAGATCCCTTTACCAAAGCCCAATGTAGTGCGGTGAATCCAGTTTCATCCGTGGCATGAACATCAGCACCCCATCTCAAGAACAAATCTACGCAACTCGGTAATCCCTTGTACGCCGCCCACATTAAACAAGTATGTCGCTGGCTATCAAGCACGTCGACATTAATGTTTTGATGTAGAAGAAGAACGAGCAGGAATATATTCCCCTCAAATGTAGCCAGGTGGAGAATGTTGTATCCTTGGACATCCGTGATCAGAGGATCAGCGCCATTTTCCAGTAATAGGTGAACGATATAATAATGGCATCTTTGAGCAGCCCACATTGCCGGTGTAGCTACAGACTCTCCTCCTTTCTTATTCACATCCGCACCGGCTTTCAAGAGAAATTGGCACATGGCATACTGATTGTTAATAGCCGCCCACTGTATGAATGCATTAGTAAGGGAAATCTTGCACAATGGGAATCGAGTCGCACATGTAAAGGTGTTATGCCCTCGCCGTCACTATAGGTAGCATCAAATGTGCCATCATCGAATAGCTTTTCTACCGCTTGGATGTCTCCTATCCGAGCAAGCTGCATTATATCCGCTGCGGGCTGTTCTGGAGGTGTCATTTCCCCAAGCTCTACATGATTATCATCACTGAGAGTTGGCGCCACGACATTTGACTTTCCACTTGGCATTATTGGAGCATTTTTCTTCGAAGAATCCGTTCCACAGGAGGGTTTCGAGTCTCCGAGGGCCATCTCGGGACCAAGGAAACTGGATTGAGAGTGTTCGAGGTGTCGAGGGGATGAAATCGATTACGGTATGTAGGATGTCAATCGTGAACGTTATGACAACGTATACATAAGAATACAGTAAAGCAAAGAAGTCAATAATAAAAGAGAAACACAGTGAGGACGGAGTTTTATCATTGAGAGAGCTGACTAGTTGTATTCTCCGTGGCTTTCGATTGAAATTATATTCCTGCTTACATGGACTGGCATAGAGTGCATACAAGGCTGAGCATCCGTTGGTACTTTATTTTAGGATCTGGCTTGCCTTGTTGCGGAAGCGGTGACAGGGGTAAAGTCAATTTTCTATAGCACAGCTCAGCATGTGGAACCCCCTAAATGACATGCACATACGACGTATCCGTCACCATAAAATAATTTCCATAGCCTTGTGAAAGAACAACACCACCACAAGACAAGGAAAAGGCCACTTGCGATATCACGCCATCATTAACGTGGAGACTTTCTCTTATATGTACCTTGAGTCTGCGGCACTGGGTGAAAGTCGTTGATCCTCAAGTTTTTGGACAAGAACGTTCTTTTCCAATTGGCCATGTCTTCTTCACAGGATTGGATTCATACTCTTATGAACCCCTCGCCTTTGGGCTTGATCATTACAATTATCCTGGTCCTTTCGATACCGATATTCCTCCACTCTGTAGTCTTTCGCGCAACTGGTTTCACATCTTTGCCCTCTATTGTGTTAATTGGACCAAGCGGCGCAGGCAAAACGGCACTTCTTACTCTTGTAAGTAATTCAACAGAAGAGGCGTTTGTCGCATGAGGTGAGTAATCACCACAAACACTAATCATCGATTGTAGTTCGAACGAGAGAACAAGCCTGCAACTACTCATACTTCTCAAACAATTTCATCTGCCGAATGTTCTCTACCGGTTGATACAGTAGCTGCCTCGAACAAATATCGTTCAGTTAATGATCCTACCAATCAAGTTCACAAGAAATTCCTCCTGATTGATACTCCTGGGCATGGAAAACTGCGACACCATGCATTCGAACAGCTCTCAACTTCTCAAAATCTTCGAGGTGTAATATATCAAGTCGATGCTACTACATTGGGAGCTGGAGATGAAGGTCTAAGAGAGGCTGCCGATTATCTACACGATCTACTTCTCCTCATGCAAAAGCTCATGGATGGAAAAACTACCATAAAGGCACCTCGAGAACTACCAATACTCATTGCTGCCAATAAGATGGATCTATTCACTGCTCTTCCAGCCGCATTAGTCAAAAGTAGTCTGGAAAGAGAAATCACCAAAGTTAGAGTCTCGCGGTCGAAAGGTCTACTTGATTCGGGAATGTCTACAGAGGAGGACGAAGATAAAGATGAATGGCTTGGAGAGATGGGTTCTACCGACTTCAAGTTTTCGCAAATGGAGGAGTTCAACATTTCTGTTGAAGTAGCTGGTGGTAATGTAATTGGATCTGATGGTGGATCAGTTGATGCTTGGTGGAGGTGGGTAGCCAACAGATTATAAGCGAATGAAGCTTTTTCCGCAATCCACATTCTAGGATTCATCTGATACCCCTCATGAACCTTATCTTCACGAGTTCTTTCATGTGAATAGCTCATCACTTCAATTGGGATGATAAACTTTTATTTTACAAGTATTTTAATGTTATTCTAATGAATTTAAGATGTCTCGACTGCTTTGTTTTGAGGGGCTTAGCTAAGCTCTAGCTGTTATGGTCACATTACATGATTCACCATTGAAGCTAGCAGTTCGCATTCTTTGTAACGTCATTACGCTGTACAATAAAATCTAATTGAATCAATTCATCTCATATATATCCGCAATGGAAAGACTTTCTTCTTCAATACACTTTCTCTCATTCACTGTATTCATTTTCACCCTAAAAGACAACTTAATGAATGGTTGTTCTGGCCATTCACTTAATGGTCGTACTTGAGAACCACTGTCAAACTATAAATTGACAAGACTGGCTCGAATTTACAAAACACACTCAAAGCTTTTGATCAACCACAATACAAAAAAAAAATGTCCTCAAAAATCCAATTTCCTCCAGCCTATGTATTCAAGTTTCTTCTTGGCAATAAGGAAATCAGAGAACTAGAAGATGGATTGGATGGGTTTGGTGCGTTGCGATATACAATTCAAGAAGCCGAAGTGGGACTCACGAGAATTCCTACGAAGGCAAGAGTGGAATTTGAGTTGAGGAAATTGAAATTCATGACGGTTGACGTCACGAATATTGGAGGAGCGATAGCAAACTCAGGGAAAGTGGATGTCGAAGTGAAGGAGGAGATGGCGAGGAAGAGGAAAGCTGAGTGTGGAAAGAAAGAGCGAAGGAGTGTTTTGAATGATAACGGGAATGAGATTATCGAGCTTAGTTCTGATGAAGACGAAACTGAATCCGAGGAAGAGGAGGAGGAGAAAGGGGGAATCGCTAGGAAAAAGTTGAAGTCAGCTGATGGGACAAGTTCTCCTGCTCCTATTGGAAGCGATTATGGTCAACATATTGTCAAAGTTCAAGACATCAGCAAATTTTCAAATTACGTCAATGTGCAGAATACTTTCAAGGTTTTGAAGATCGATTGGTATTTCGATTCAATCAAAGAAGGAATGTTACTTCCCATAGACAAATACCTAATATACGAAGGACGACGAGTAACGGAGCCACCGAAATCTCTCCCTTCAGATCTCCTTACTCGCGCAGCAGCCGATTCAGGAGGCTCTTCTAATCACAAATACAGTACCCATTATCGACAGCAACAATCAATCAAACCACTTACCCGGCCCACCCTCCTCACAGAATCCACCTCCGAACATGACGACCCATCACATTTCCCCCCATTACCAGAATATCTCAAAACAATCTACTCTTGCGAAAGACCCACCCCCTTAACCTCTCCCAACGATCCCTTCATCAACCAACTCAAAACCATCAAGCTAAAGCGTCTCCTAGACGACGACCCCATCGGTGTTCGCGCCTATAGCACTTCTATCGCCTCCATAGCAGCTTACCCATACCCCCTCCACTCACCCAACGAAATTGTTCGTCTCCCGGGATGCGACCAAAAAATCGCCAATCTCCTCCACCAATTCCTGAACACAGGAACCACAGACGAAGTTCTCGAATTCGAAAGAAATCCCCGCATGCAAGTCTTAAAAACCTTCTACAACATCTGGGGCGTAGCCGACATCACCGCGCGCGAATTCCACGATCAAAGAAACTGGAAAGATCTCGACGATGTCGTGGTCGAAGGCTGGAACGATCTCAAACCGGTCCAAAAAGTCGGAGTCAAATACTACGAGGAACTTAATTCTACGATTCCCCGCTCCGAAGTTGAAGCCATCGGTTCCATCATTCTTTCGGAGGCGCGGAGAATAGATCCTGGCTATCAGATGGTTATCGTAGGGGGATTCCGGAGAGGAAAACTGGAAAGCGGAGATGTGGATATCATGCTCACGCATCCGGATGAGAGTCGCACGTTAGGATTCCTCCCGGAACTAACATGGAGATTGGAGGAACAGGGATGGATTACGAATATTCTGCTGGAATCGATGAAGAATAGCGAGCGCGGCCAACGGGCTGTAGATCTGGGTTGGAAGAAAGATCAAGCGCGAAAAAAGGGGTTTGATAGTTTGGATAAGGCGTTGGTGGTTTGGCAGGATATCAATTTTCAGGCTGAGGAAGAAAAAGAGGGGGGAGAGAGCAAGAAACGCAAAAATCCAAATCCGCATCGCAGAGTGGATATTATTATTACGCCGTGGAAGACGGCCGGGACGGCGATTATTGGGTGGTCGGGGGGAACGACCTTTCAGAGGGATTTGAGAAAGTATTGTAAGAAGAAGAAGAATTGGAGATTTGATAGTAGTGGGATTCGGGAGCGGGGGACAGGGGAATGGATTGATTTGGAAAGGGGGGTGCAGGTGGAGGGGTTAGTAAACGGCGATACAGAGAGGGTGGGATGGAAAATGGTGATATGGAAGGGAGGATGGAAAAAGATATGATTGAAGTATTGAGGAAGAAGGAAATGGCCGTTTTCAAAGGTATAGGCTTAGAATGGAGAGAGCCATGGGAAAGATGTACAGGGTAGGAAAGGGAATATTCGAGGATTAATTTGTGATAACAATTGAAGGTTACAGATATTTTAATATTATCATCGTCTAAATAAAATCATGTTCCAGCAATTGAGAAAATGAACCAAACTTGCATCTCTAACACTATGAATGATTCAGCACAGGGAGAACTAGATACATCATCGGTTACGAAAATGACGCAATCAAGCGCATCACCCCCTTTTCTATAGCTGCGAACCTTTTACATGTATATGGTTCCATATCTATAGCTATCTATTTATACCATGGAAAGGCAAGTGACGAAGAATTACAAGCGCTAATCGAAACAAGTAACACATTGAAATGGCATTTTTTTATACCTAATTAAGTATGAACCCTGATTTGAAATATTTAATGTACTGTGAAACATGAAAGCGGTTTGGTTGCGGGTGTCTGAATTAGATTGTGGAATTGTCAGAAAGCGTTTGGGTCCACTGGTCATTAAATTTTGATTGAAGTGTTGAGGGCGCCATAGAATATTCGATATTTTCATTCGTTGATCCAAGATTGGAAAATGGGAAATGCTAGCGCAAGTGGTATTTCTGATTGGTCTCAGTTTGCCTAGCTAAACAAAAACTCCTGTGAATCATTTAGAGTTTTAACGTTCTTTCCGTCTCTCTCAGTAATTTCGAAGTCATATTACGCAAGTCTAACAAAGATTAGTCGGCAAAAAACGTGGAAGATGACAATTTATAACCAACCTTTCAATTAAATGCAAGCCAGAAGCAGTTTCAACCACATGACTAACTTCACCTGGCTTTAAAGCGAAAGCTGCTTCCTCAAACTCTTTCTGCATATCTCCCCGTCCAAAGAAACCAAGATCCCCCATCTTACGGGCAGAGCTGCAGTCGGATTCGCTAACGGCAAGGTCACCCAATGATGTTGTTCCAGAACGGATATGAGCTTCATGTTGAAGAATAATGCTCATCGCCTCTTCCTTTGTGCGTGTGATTTCGGCCTATTATTTCATTAGTCATATTTACTTGCGCACAATGAAGCATTGAAGCTTCTCGATCGTTCATTGTTGATTTCGAATTTGGGTCATGGAGAAAACGAACCTCGCGCCAACTGCTCGGCCTTCTGCTGCCCTTGTGCTTCACCAGTAAATGACTGGCTCTGATCTTTCCTGATTGATCTTCCTGGCCATTGGCATTATCTCCAATCTCCGAGGCGCTGTAATGCTCGGCCATATATGCCTTCAGCTTTTCGGTATCAGTGTTTGCTGGAGGCTCCCAGCTTGATATCGTTTGCGCTTCGTTGAAATAGTAGGGAATGTTCTTAGATTTTGAAGTGCGAACTTCCCATCCTGCTGGTAGACCTGCGTCCGTCTATACAATGAGGTTAGTAAAGCTCGAATGGTATTTACGTTACAAATCCAAAAAGTTCAGCCATTAAAGATATAGTGAACATTGAAAGTGCAAAGGGAAAACGTTACCATTGTGTAACTGGTTTTTTATAGTTGAATGTGCTACAAATGATTCGAATTTGTGATGAATTGATTGATGAGTCTTTTGATATAGATTTTTGTGACTGTCCTCTTGTTATTTATTTTTGATTGTATTTTTCCAAAGGAAGAGAGAGGCGTGAAAGGAGATGATGCATTTAACTGGAAGGTACTTGTATCTTGGTCACAGGGCGAGCCCAATTAAGTTTAGTGGCAGGCGGGGTTTCCCTTCTTCAGTAACCACCAAGCAACTCACAACCAGAGCATTGATGAGACCAACCAAGCCAATCGTGCCAGCTTATTAAGGTGACAAGGACTTTCATTCACAAGGATTACAAAAGAGTTCTAGTCCAGCCAAAAGTATCCACATCGAAATCCACTCGAGCCATAATCTATCATTCATCGACATTTCTCAGCAACGCGACACAACGAGAGAATCTCAATATTATACAACATCAAAGAAGAATATTATTATTCTTCCTTCTTCTACGATCAAAACATCGACTTTAACTGGCTATAGGTGCTGAATAACGACATTCATCCACGAGCATCGTGACGATTTATCTATTGCGACAGATTCAATCCTAGAACACATCTTTCAAAGAAATATCATCATGGCATCTCCATCATCCAGTTCTGGCGAAGAGCCCAAGAAGAATGAGGAACAAATCACTTTCAGATTCTGTAGCGAATGGTAAGTTCCCATCGCCCCCTCAAAGGTTTTCTCGCATGTGCTAACGATCAGCTAGTTCAAATATGTTGTATCCAAAAGAGGACCCCGATACCCACCGCCTACAATTCGCATGCCGTACTTGCCAATATTCAGAGGAGGCTGTCTCCTCTTGTGTCTTCAGAAATATTCTTAACAATGCTGTCGGTGAGACTGCAGGTGTCACTCAGGATGTTGGATCTGATCCTACTGTGGGTTTACCTTTATGTCTTTTATGCGGCCATCTGGTCATTTGTGAGGGAAGGGTGGCAAACAGGCTGGGTGTGGAGAAGCTTTGAGGGGAGAAGAGTTTATGGACGGACTTTTGCGGAAGTTCTGGTGGCTGTTGTGGTCTCTTTGAAACCTCCGCTGACATCAATTTTCTTTGGTTCTAGCTTCCACGATCCAACAAGACTTGCCCTGCTTGCAGAAACGAGGATGCTGTGTTTTTCCAGTCTCAACAGAGATCTGCGGAAACGGGAATGGTAAGCTATCGAATTTGCGAATATTTTCAGGCCTTGCTAACGGGCGATCCTAGAAACTCTTCTACGTATGCTGCGGGTGCGGTCATATTTTCCAATGATACCCCGGGTTTCGATTTTTAGAGAAGGCGTTGTTCTTTGGGGAAACGGGCATATGGAGTCTATCACATGGATTGGGGATACATAAAAATACATTATCAAATTTCTACGGCATGTCAATATGGGGGAGAATATAATTTTTCATTGTCCAAAATTCCTTTAAAACGCCGGATTTGCTATGCTACATCAATCTTTTTTTTATGCAGTGATATCTACAGATGCATAGGTGCTAGTGATAGAATTTTTGACCACTTCATCTTTCTTAATTCTGTGCCAACCACACCTGTAAAATGTTAACAAAGAAAACATATTGAGGATAGTCGAGACTACTAACCGTTTAATCTTGTTCCAATGGGTTCTCCAGCTTTGTTGATTAAAACGCAAGCATTATCATCGAACTTGACGACACTTCCATCTGGTCTCTGTAACTTTTTGACCGTCCTAACCACAACTGCGTGTCTAATATCTCCTCTTCTGACCTTGTTCGCTGCGGATGTAGAAACACTTGCACCGGGACCGGACTCTGAGAAATTACGTTGCTTTTGTACGACGACGATAATGCGATCTCCTAATTTGCATTCTTAGAATTGGAATCGACGAGACGAGGCTGTGGGGGGCGTTGTGGAGGGAGGGGGACATGGTAGGAGGGGTGATGTAGAGAGGGGTCCGAACCAATTTTTGCATGTCTCTTCATTTTTAAGACCTTGGCGCATTCTACCACGGCGGCGCCAGAATTGTCGATGCAATTAAGCATCGTCTATATGGTGATAGTTAGCACGATAGAAAGTGATGCGCGCAAAAGCAGATAAATCAATAAAAGCATTTTATGTATGCGCCGGGCACAACAGAAGGAAAGTTATCGAGTATATATCAATGAGGGTATTTCACGCAGCAGAACAAACAGGTCATACCTTTAGTTGAATCATCTTATGGACAATACGTGGTGGAGGGGTTCACTTTCGTATTGCTGGAGATTCTCTATATATCTCCTCTCTCTGCATTGTATGGTTATCTCACTATGGTCATCGTCAAATTATTAGGACACTAGTCTATTTTTGGTATAGGCGATGTTTACCCACGCCTCAATATTCCAAGTTCTATTTCCAGCCTCTTTTATCTATTGTCCTATCTTGTTGAGAATGGCTAATAGGGGTGAAAAAATATACTCCATCTTCTGTTGAAGGTCATCATGTATCTTAAGGAAACAATTATTCACTCCTTTCCTGCTTACTTACTTTCGTCCCTCTTTTTCTTCCCGTTTGAAGCATTTCAGCGTTCTCGTTCTTCAATTCTCAATTCCGCATAACGTAACTTTCGGAGTTCAGCACATAAGTATTTGCTTCTCTTTTATTTCAGTAGGCCAGGGAAAATAGCCAGCGAGGACGTCCATTTGGAAGAAGTGAATGTGTTAGGATCACAAAAATCAGCTCGGACACGTTTTTCGTAGGCGACGAGCCACTTGAATCATTCATTCGGTCTGATATTCCAATTTATTGCGAGCTGTACATCCATACACTCACTTGGATATACAATTTGTTTCAATCCTTTCTGCATCTTTCCTGCAACACTATCCACTTCTAATTTTTCGGCATCACGACTGGCTTTCTTTGTAGCCTATAACTTCTGTACAATCGCATACTTACACATCACTTGAACCGTCACAATGCCTCCAAAATCAAACACGACGAAGAAGGAACGACTTACTCTGGCTCAATTATGGTCATACGATGATATATTGACAGATGCGCTTGTTGACCAGGTAAGTCTTTTTATATCATAGTCTCAATTATAACTTCTCCTAATATCAGCCGACAGGTTTACTATTGGACCAATATTCGCAAAAATCGCATCGCATACCATTCATCTCGTGGAATTAGAGAGGAAGATGTGACCAAAATTCTCCAAAATTCAGTCATCATTGAGAAAAACACTGCAAAAGCAGAGGCAGAACTCTTAGCTCTTCCAGGTCTCAAGAAATTTCAACAAAGTCTCAATTCGGAAAAAGAAAAGGAGGACTTTAGGCGTCATCTTAAAAAGTACATCAACATTTATCTACCTGATTGTCCATTCGAAGTTTCGAGCACGAATCGTTATACTGTTGTTACACATGAAGCGGCAGTTGTTGCGCGGAGGGAAATTAGAAAAGGAGAGGTAGTCAAATATCTTTCCGGAATTCCAAGTAGTTATGACACCTGAGGAAGAGAACACATTAATCTTCTGCGCGAAGAGACTTTAGGCATTGTTATGTCAAGTCGTAACAAATCTGCATCACTATTTCTCGGACCAGCCCGATTCGCAAATCACGATTGTGGCGCAAATGCTCGTTTGATGACGAGCGGAACTGCCGGAATGGAGATTATTGCAATTAGGGATATTGAGATTGGGGAGGAAATTACGGTCACCTACGGCGAGAGTTATTTCGGCGAGGATAATTGCGAATGTCTATGTAAGACTTGTGAGGATAACCGCGAAAATGGATGGGCCCAAGATGATGATAATAATGAGTCTATTCCCAAATTATCAATTGAACAGGAACCATCACCCCCAGAGGTACCAGGTTATAGCCTTCGACGTAGACGACGACTCACTTCTACGGTATCTGAATCGCGTTCCGAATCGATGACACCTGACATTAATTTACGACCACAAGTACGAAAAATGCCACCAAAGTCGGGTAGATCGGCTTCGTCAGCTCAGAATGGACGCTCTCCTGCTCTGGGCTCTCCACCTTCAGCCTCAAATCGGCCTGTATCTAAAGTAGACCAAGTTGATGAAGACAACCTACTATCACCAACAGGATCATCGAAGCGAAGAAGAATGCCTAGCGAGGAAGATTGTTCACCAAGTACTCCGAAAAGAAGACGACCATCTCAAAAGATTGCGCGTTCTCCATTAGGAGTTCTACATGGAGTGAACGGAAGCGAAATGCCTAGCTCCCCGGAATCGGATATACTACAACAAAACCTTCTGGTCGAATGGGACCAACCGGTAACTCCAGGTATGCCTTCACCAATAATAGATCCTGGAAGATCTCGGCCATTGAGATCAAGCACACTTAAGCGAAAGAGAGACTCTGAGGAACCAACAGTTTCGCCATCCGACACGACAAAGCGATTGAAGAGCCAGTTTTCTGTAAAAGTTGAAGAGTTCACACCTACATCATTTTATGGAAACAATGGCCATGTCACCTTACCAAGTTCTGCTTCAGAATCCAGGAGAGCAAGTTTCACATCCTCTCCTTCAGGGGAGGAAAAAGGGGAAACAGATGCAACATCGGTCGATGAAGAAGAGACGATCGTGGTACTAAATGAGAAACCTATTTCTGTCGATTCTAAACCTAAGCGACAGGGTTACGTGAAAAGGGGAAATCATGGTGGTCGAAGAAGAGGGCCGTTATGGGAGAAGGAAAAGCGAGAAAGGGCGGGCCAAACAAAAGTCATCACACCATCAGAAATTCAGAATGCAAAGAAGGCGCCATCAGAAGCTGTTCTCGTCAGTCCAAATACCAGCAAGTCACACCCAGCTTTACAGGATGATGCAGATTCGTCCGCCCTTTCCGATCTTGGATCCGACATGGAAATAGACGACTCAACAATGACAATCTCGAAGAAACTTCCGCAGCCCAAAATTCGACGACGCCGCAAAGGAGTAGTTGTACCATCAACTAATGATAAGGATCATGCGCCAAATGTACGAATTCCTGGTGACTACGTATTGACCCATGCACTTCTCGCTGAGCCAGCATCAGCATGGATCAATTGCAAGATCTGTGAAGAACCTTTTGTTCAGAAAGATGCATATTTTACTAGATCATCTTGTCCAAGATGCGAACGCCATAGTAAGCTGTATGGATACATGTGGCCAAAAACGGATAAAGAGGGCAAACATGATGAGGAAGAAAGAGTTCTAGATCATCGTACTGTTCATCGTTTTATCAAATCCTCGGAAGAAAAAGACATCAGGAGGAAGAGTGGACGCGGGAGTACTGGGAGTAGAGAAGTAACGAAAGAAGCTAGTGTAACTCCAGCGGCATCTGTTAAGATTAATGGGGTAAAGAAATCATCCAAGACAGGTGGTCTATTGAGAGTGTATGGGAGGAAGAGTGAACGAACTAGGAGAGATAGATTCACTTTGTAATATATTTGAGGGAAGGATAGAAAGAAAAGGTTTATGATATGATAGACGACGATGGGAAATAGGGACGGTCGTGAGGTTTGGCACGCACATCCTTTTCTTGTGTTTTATATTGAAGTTAAAGATTTGGGGTATGGGCTACTATAACTACTGCGGATGGTGGTTGTAGCATGGTGTCTGGCGATTGGGATTTGGTTTGTCAACGGAAATTACTTACGGAATATCAACGGACAATGAGGAATGGCTTGTATTATACCGTTTGGTGGAGCGATGAAATTAGTGTACTATAGAGGAGAGAAGGATTCATATATTTTCTAGAATATTGTGTTGCATTGCTGCGTGCTGGATACATGGGAATGAATGCAGTTTTTGATATCCTGTTTGTGTCATCTTTTTCTCTCTCGTTCAAAGTACTTGATACTGTTCCATTCACATCCTATATTTTCCATACTCTACAAACCTCGATCTTGTACCAGATGGCACAAAAGCAAAGTCGTGCTTCACCCATCTAATCTTTTCCTCGTCACCTCGTGTGTTAGATTGGGCATCGGGCAGGTTTATCTGGGAAACTTGAGTATTTTGATGGATATCTATTTTTCTGTATACTGTTGGACAGGATAAATGCCCTGCAAAATGTCGATGGAGATTTTGGAATTGTTTTTATAGTTGGAGATATCCTCATTTCGAGATAACAATTGCAGAACGAGCACGTAACATATATTTTGGTACCCCAATACCCGGAGGGTTTATCGGACTACTACCCTGCTATGTGTCAATGGTGCAGAGGACATACGCCCTATCGGCTTGGATTCAGCTGGTATTGTGTTGCAAGGACAACTAGCATTGCGATACATGTACTTCTGGACTTGGACACACATGCATAAGTTATTTTAAAAACAACGCATAAAATCCATTGAAATTCCACCATGTTATAGTATCAAGTCTTCAATCAATCAAAATGTCTTCTGTCCATTTTAATACCACGCTCGAAGAGCTCTATGGGCTCGACAAACAAGATCCCCGCGAAATCTACCTCTTTTACATGATTCCAACAGCCACACTTCAAATGACACAAGGCATACCCATTTCCAAAAAATATGTCTATCAAGATACTCTATCTCCTAAAAACCTCGAAATCCAAGCGAGAATCTTCACTTAAATAGCTCCGCAACTCTTCGGTTTCATTGCAGGGAACTTAAATATCATCATGTTTGATCTCGATGATCCCGACGGCGGAATCGATCCGCAGCCCCGAATAGATACACAAGATGTATTGAGTTGCATCACAGAGAGTCAGAGACCTATCGTCACTTATGTGCGTAGTGTGGAAGGTATTATCCTTCCTCCCGATGCCCTCCTCGCCGTAGCCAACCCAATTGATTGTCTCGAGCACTTTCCCTCCACAGTCCCTTTTGAGAACCACTATCGAGCGCTTTCGAAACGCGATTTGGTGGTCTCTGGCTTGCCGACTCCGGGATCGATAGTCATTGAAACGCGGTTAAATCCAATGCAAGTGCGGGATCCGCAAATGCGAGTCGAGGAAGTAAATCGTATGCTTGAGGTTATCAAATGCCGATCTACGCCCTTTGTGGTGAAATTGCCGCAAGCGTGTTCGGGACAGGGTGTGTTTCTCGTCAGAAATGAGGAGGAGAGGAGCACTGCACCATCGGTGTTGGAGACGGGTATAGATACTATGCTCCAACAGCTGAGTCCGAGTAATGAACATTTACACCCTAGCAGTTTTATTGTGCAAGAAATGGTGTCTGGATCTGCGGTGGCTATTGCGTTATTCTTGTCTAGAGAGGGGGAGGTGTTGATTACATCTGTGTGCGATCAGTTTGGTGATGCGCAGGGGAATTGGGGTGGGGGTCATATTGATTATGCGGGACAGGAAAGTCGCATTGAAGAGTATAGAGCCATTGCGAAAAAAATAGGAGATTATATACATACGCTTGCGTATATGGTCCGTTGGGTGCGGATATTATGATGGATACGAAGGGAAATCATGTGGTTATTGATTTGAATGCACGGGTCACGGGTTCGCACGCATTGGGGTTCTTGAGGGGACATTTTAATAGAGAGAGAGGGTTTAGCGATGCGGCGATTTTATCTCCGCTATTTTTTAATATGGGGTTGGAGGGGTTCAGAGAAAGGTTTGTGGGGGAGTTGGCGGAGGGGAGGATGGTCGTTCCGGGTTGGTGTCATGGGAGAGGGAAGGTAGTGAATATGGCGACGGTCATTTTGGCGGGGGAGGATCGGGACAGGTTGATGGATTTGGTGGGGAGAGTAAAGCAGCTTCAGATGGTGAGGTCTTGATTGCAGAAACTGTGTTTGGGTGTTGAATTATTGCTTTGCTTGAGGGTAGCAAAAAGTGCTTATCCAGTTACTTGAGTCATTTAGACGATTATAAGTTGTGAGGTGATTATCAAGGGGCATTTCGATGTAGAGAATATTGACTCCCTTGCTCTAATCAACACGTTGTTTCAAACCTATTCACCCTCTCTATCACTTTTCTCGCTATCATTCGATGAGCGATGAACTTGCTGCGAATCATACACTTATAATTTTGTATGAATTCCACCCATCCAATTCCAATCCATCCACCTCAAGTCCACAACATTCTGTTGCAAAAGAAATACACACCAAATCAATCCCACAAAACCATATCAACAAGCCTAGTCCGACCCGCGCCGAACATTTGGGAGTGGGAAAGGACTGTGATTTCTCTAAATCATAACCTCTTAGTGAAGGAGCAGAAATACATATCGAGGACTGAGGATCGCGAAAATATTGGCATAAGAAATCTTTCCAAGGGGCTCGCTAGTACACTTGAAACCGAATAGAAGGATTTCGATAAACAAGATACTGTGTCTAGAATGAATTTACACACTTCTAGCAATTACTTTTTCTCTACAAAAAAAGACAAGATCTCGAGGTTAACACGCCTAACAAGCAATAGAAAATGGTAGTAGAACAAGTCCAAGAACCTAAAAACAACACCCGTACTCCATTTTCCTCCTCGAATCAAACAACTTTGTCATTCGAGAGTTGCAAGTCCGCGCTGTGTGTACAGTCTATTATTCTACTTTGATTGAATGAAGCACGACTTCGCAGCGGACGACATCTGGCGGTATTGGGCAGAGATGATTCTGTTGTGCTGTGTGTACATTTGAAGAACTGGGGGGTTCTAGACGGGTTAAAATGATTGGGTGCAGTAGGTTGGCTGGGTCGTTATCATTCAGATGAGTGTTCAGTCTCTCCTTGAAATGATTAGACGCCAATGAATCCTTCGCAAAGAACTCCTCGTTGAAAATTAAGGAGCCTCCGCCGAAATCCAGATGAGACCTACACTATTATTTACCAAGCTCTTGAAGTATTCGTATATTGTCATGGATTCAATATATAACAACCCAACATCCAAATTCAAATAACCCCTCCCATGCACATACAAATGTCCAATGGTCCAATCAACTGAATTCATCCAAGCTTACATATCTAGCTTACCCAGGTATACATTGCGGCTCAATCAAATCTCAAACAGCGACCGAAACACACTCATCTCGGCACCGAAAAAATATCGGAACGATTTATCCGGCTTACTTCTTCCTACCCTTACACCCGCTTCCTTTTGTGCATCCTTCCGTGACGTCTTCCCGCATGTTTTGGGTGCTACCTGGTAGGTAGATATGTAAGGTTATGCTTGTTAGGAATACAACATCGGGTTTACGTTTATGTTGTGTATTCCCGTTTTTTACTCTTTACAGAGGAGATAGAATTAGAACCAATAGAGAAAACAGTCGAGAAAAAGAAATGAATCAAACTCATGCCCGTCAACTTGTCAAAAGCGAAACAAATCTGTGCGAGAAATACCCGGGTACAGTGACATCTACCTAGAAGGAAGCCTTGGTATCTTGGTATCTGTTGTGAGACTCTGGTTGAGCGTGTATGTATGTATATATGCGGATGCGAATGCGAGATTACAAATGAATACGAACTGCATACTTCGTCTGGCTACGATTTCCACATCTATATAACACAACGTAGGAAAATACAAAACACACGACACGCGACGCGACAGTAACAATGTAGTGCGAAATCTCCACTCGCAAGAGTCCAAGCATTAAGTAGAAGCAGTCAATTTCAAGAGATTATTCTTCTCTCTCCTCTTGAGCAAACAATTCCTTCAACCATTTACTAAGCTTCTCCAGGGCTATCAGAAACTTGTCTTGACAGTGGCAGTGTGGCTTGCTGATCATCACCTCATATTATGCAGTTTGATATTCTTGGCTAGTTTTGGCTGGCACACATGGGCAAAAATGAGGAAACGCAGCACGAGTCAAATGTTTGTATTAGGCTTGGAAAATGTCGTGTGCGTCTCTCTTTAGGTTGTGAAGTTGTGAATAGAGTTGGCAAAAGGTGTGAAGAGCTTTATGTAGATAGAAAGTATATCGAGTTGAGTTTGAATAATTCTACTTTGCGTATGTAAAGTAGAAATAATGTTTGGGGGAAGCTTGAATGGTTCACGATGCACGATTGTAATGTAGGAGGTTATTATTAGTTGGTGGGTCGAGATGAATTCATGAAAGAATGGGGAAGAAAAGAGCCGGGGATTTAATGATCGATGAAGGGGTAAATGGGTAAATGGGTAAATGGGTGATTTAGTAAAATATATCGAAAAGGAATATTCTTCAAGAATATGATGTATGAATGCCATGTCAAAAAAAGAATGCGTCTAGGATTTATATATACATATGTTTGAATCTGAGGGCGAGGTCAGAATCTCTATTTATCTATCTATTTATGCTATGATCTAAAATATGGACATCATAGAGTCGTCGTAAGCTATTCACATTCGTCTAATCTTAATTGATCCTTTATTTTCTTTTTCCTCACACAAACCCATAACTGTCTCTTCCTCATAGAAGACGGGATATCTACCTACACCGCACCTCATTACCTAAATACCACATCTTCTTGGTAACTTTCTGAACATGTGAATGAATTGGCTTTGTCTTGGCCCCAGCTATTTGAAGTAAACTTGATCCAGACTCCAAGCAAAAATAACCTGTGATTAGATACTTGGCATGTGAAGAATTACTCCTATTTGGTAAATACGCTTTTGTGGTAGCGGCGGGTTGATGAATACGCGGGAATATGTACCGTGGTTCTGCAGGTCTTCGAGTGATCAGGTCAGGGTCAGGGTCTGAGCAGAGAGAAGATAGTTTGTTCGATCGTCGGGAGATCTCATTTTGCGTCGACGAGTAAGAATGGGAAGGGGAGGAAGTATGGGACTAGATAATATACTCTCTTAGGATAAAGGAGAAGAGAAGAAGGGGGTATGCTCTAGATTTCATGACTAGCGACGCATGGTCTTGATGCTTATTGTTTGCTGTATATTAAGAATTAGTTGTGAGGATTTAGTTAGCCGCTACTTGGTATCAAATTCATACATAGCCCTATTTACATCTTTTTAACCTGCCAACCAGCTCTTGAATACATAAAGCTCCAAATCACTTTATTTCCTTCGGCTGCTTGATTTTCTTTTCTGCTTTCTGAACCTCGATTTTTCGAGACTTTTCGTTATCCTTCTCAATTCAAATTTTGAAGAGAAGTAGAAGAAGAGAGATAGCCCTTGCTTTCATTCTTGCTTCTCCATACTAACAGATCCGCACCACTCCTGAATATCAACTTCCAGTGTAGTTAAATCCACACAACGAACGAATACATTCATTTTCCTACTTATACGGCCGATTTCTATTTCTCTCGTTGTTTTGTACAATTACAATAGCTTTATCTATAACTCGACGATTTTAATCCGCAAATATCAATACATTTAATCTGTTTCTTCAAAGACTTTCAACCCGAATTGTTATCAAGGGGTTTCTCCTACACCAAAAGCATACGTCATCCCTGCGGTAAACATAACGAGGAAATTATTTCGACACAAAGGAAAAGATTCGGATACAGGGTTTTCTATAGATATCTTGCATCGATACTTTTATATATATATATCTGGTCCGGAATACTCTCTTGAAAAAGAAGGAATAAAAGAAGTCCTTCAATTGAGGGTTTCCATCGTGTTTTGACGTCTGGTGTTTGAGTCGGATTGGGCGGACGACATTTATACAATCCGAATATGGCAAATATACCATTTCCAGATGGCGAACCGCAATGGAATAGTAAACCACAATTCAGATTGCCAGGATGGGCGGAACCAGTTGTTAGTTTTCCTTCTGGACTTTTGGTCAAGAAGAAATGAATGAAGTTCCTCAACTAACGATTCTTTCACAGATGGTTGCTAGTATCTTGTTTGGATCCATGGTACTGACGAGAAGACATGGGTATAAGATATTCGATCGAAGGCGAAACACATATGGATTATTGAGTGAGGAACCCGATTCTGCACGCTCGTCCGATGATTTGTTGGCTCGGGACTACATGATTGGCAGCGGACGAGATTCCGACGTCGATTCGATGTCGACGTCGAAATATCCCCCCAAGAAGAGAAGATGCTGTGGCACGAATCTCCTGACGCCGAACACCTCGAGATTTCGAGATTACTACCACAGTCGAATATTACAGAAGTTTCCATTTCTGATCGAGATGTTCTATTGGATTGTTACGTATGCGTTTTATCGATGTACGAAGGTCCTCTCGCAAGCTATGTTTTCCAAAATGGGCATTTGGGATGTAGCTCAGGATCATGGGTTGGCGATTTTGGAATTCGAGGAGTTCTCGTGGATGAGCTTTTTGTGGCCGGTGAGGGAACAGAGTGTACAGAGGTGGTTTTTAAATGGTCATGGGACGCTTTTGACCGTTTTGAATCGTTCTTATGCCTTGATTCATATTCCTGGTACTGTTGGGTAAGTTTCAGAAATCATGACTAGGCAGAGATGTCGAGTAGTTTTGGAGAATTTGTCTTTGACTAATACTTTTTTCTTGTAGATTCATCGCGTTCTGGTACTATGTAGCACCATCCCATACAACTTTTGCAACAGTCCGTCGAACCATGACTCTCACCAATCTTTTCGCCTTCTGTATCTTCATCCTCTACCCCTGTATGCCACCACGTCTTCTTCCCCCCGAGTATGGATTCCTCGACAGTGTTGGTCGCAATAACGCGCAATCCGTTTGGATGCAAGGAAACTACGTCAACTCGCTCGCCGCCATGCCATCGATGCATTTTGGATATTCATTTTGTATCGGCGTGACCTTAATCTATCATTCTGGACTCTTCCGTCGCAATCTTGAAACAGGCGAAAAACGCAAGAATAAATTCTGGATGCTCTTTTATGTTTTCCTGGGAATCGCTTATCCGCTTTATATCCTGATCACAATTGTGGCGACGGCAAATCATTATTATCTTGATGCCTTTGTGGCGTTCTTCGTGGCGATTGCGGCATTTTTGTGTAATAGGATATTCCTCATCTTGTTACCCGTGGAAGATTTATTGTTTTGGTGTTTGAGATTGGAGAAACCTATTCCGACGACGGGAAATAGATTTAGAAGGAGGACCAGCCGTTCTTAAGTCTAATGGTTTTCGAAAAGAAGGATGGTATCATTCCACTAGCTTCTGAAATGAAGACATCAACGACGATGGAGAAGATAAAGATCGAGATGGATGGGCGTTTTTCTAGCATTTTTCGGATGGGCTGGGATGGAAAGAAGGGAATTCTTCTGGGCGAGCATATTCACGTATATGTTACTATTGCATATATTTTGTCTTTGGTTTTTTATACTCACCATGTTGAGTATTTTGGATGGATACCAGCATGGCTTACAGCCTCTAAATAAACGGCGTATTGGAAACGGAAAGTTGGAGATTGATTTGTAGTTGGAATGAAGAATCATTGACTACAAGAAACGTTTTTTGTCTGTATTATCGGATGATGTCGTTGTGATGTTTAGTCAAGTACTTCAAGAGTCTCATCTCGTTCATTCATTCATAAGCTTCATGAAATATCTCTGGTATAAATATCTTTTTGGATACCCAGGTAAGTACAGATGAATGATATTGAAGGAATGTCGTACTTGGAGTTCGAATAATAGTAATCTTACAATGTAATTACAGTACTATTAATTGACCAATCCAAAGCTTCAATATATTTCGATGCCTTAATCGCAAGGCTAGAACAAAGAGCTCTGCTAGCTAAGCTCCCAACACACCTTCCTAATCAGGAGGTTGGAGCTTTCTAATAAGGGTTTAACGGGATACTGAGAGCTTTAAAACACGTCTACACGTCTCCTTCGATAGCTATCAAAGCGCGTTCAACTTCCACTAGGTATTCTTATCGCATCGTATCATCCCATCCGTTCATTAATTTAATGAATTAAATTGATCAATTTCTTCTCTTCAATTTTTTCTGCCATTCTTCCTTCAATTGAGTTCTGTTCTGTACTGTACTGTACTGTACTGTACTGTACTGTGTCGTGTCGTATCGGATCGTATTGTGACTTCTGAATTAAGTCAACAAAGTTACACAGCTTCAGGACTTCGATACCACCTTCGTGATCTTCCCACCTTTCCATCTATCCACCTCCACCTCACAACTTCTCAATTCTCCCCCACAACATTCAAACATGTCTTCCGCAGATGGTTATCCCCTCGCACCAGATACCGCCGCACTAGGCACCAATCCCGCCGACATCGAAATGGGCGACCCCAATCCCAGCGCCGTCATAATCGAAATCGACGCGTCCGCCGGCACCGAAACCAACACCCACGTCTCCAACGAAGGCGACAATGATGCCTCGGGCCCCGATCTCCAAGAAACAGCCATGGAAGATATTCCCGCGCGCGTCACCTATATCGATTATCTCAAGAGTCCCATGATCGCATTGTTAGTCGGCCAAGGCGACGAACAAGCACTCTTGCATGCACATCAAGCTCTCCTCTGCAAATCCCCCTGGTTCGCCGAAGCCTGCGGAAAATTCAGCAACGACGTCAGCGAGCGCCGCATCGATCTCGTCGACGAGGATCTCGACGCCGTCGGCTGTTTTCTCGAATACCTGTACACGAATGACTATTTCCCGCGCAAGATCCCCGGGTCGCGCGATCTGGAAACGGATCCCGCGATGCCGGATGTCGACGAGAGCGGGGATCAATTACTCAAGCATGCGCGTGTGTATACGCTGGCGGAAATGCTGCAGCTTCCGAGTTTGAAGAGTTTGGCGAGTAGCAAGATTCATTGTGTCAATAGCACCGCGAAGGGAGAGATTGCATATGCGAGATATGTGTATGCGCATACGCAAAAGGATGATCAGACGATTAGGGCGCCGGTGGCGAATTTCTGGGCGACGAGGAGTCATACTTTGAGGAGTGAGGCGGAAACGGAGTTTAGGGAGATGTGTTTGGAGTTCCCGCAGTTTGGTTATGATGTTTTGAGTAAGTTTTTTTTATCCTTCTTTCTTTTGGAACTTCTCGCTTCTTGTTACCTTTTCTTTTTTCCACGCCCTGGTTGTGGATGGACGAGTGGCTGGAGGATTCAGAAATTGTGTACCATTTTGTTTGTCAAGATAAATAAATACTAACAAACAATAGCACGTGTCCTGGACGAAAAACTCAAGAGAGAAAAGAACGACAAGATGCATCCATCGCACGGTACACCTGGCAGTTCTCGAAAAAGACCTCGTCAAAGTGGGATTTGATTAGTGAACGAAGCATTGGGCGCTGAATGGAGTTGTGTTGGCATGTAAGATCTTACTTGAAGCAATTGTATCACTTTGTATTGTATTGCATTGCATTGCATTGCATCGTCTCTTCATTTGTATCTGACTGCGCTATAGCTATATGATATGGTATGCTATGGTATGATATGCTATGGCATTCGTATTTGAATGAATAAGTATGAGTATGCATGTAGGGGAATGAATGCAAGATGGAATGTGAGAGATTGGTTGGTGATGAATGGATCGATGGATGGATAGTTAGTATCCAAATGGGCACAACCGAGCATATGCTATGGAAATGAGATACTACCTACCATAATATCTCAAACAGAAAACAGATGATCCAATAAGCGAGAAAGGAGTATAGCAATGAAAGGAGTAGAGGAAATCAATCAATCAATCAGTTATTTATTAGTCGTGTAATGGTAATAAGTCTACTTCACGGGTTCACTTATATAATACCAATACCAATGCTGATACCAATATCGTTCAAATTCGAGCTGGAGTATGATATATTTCTAATACAAATGCAAATGTAAACGTAAATGTGTGTTATAGCTAGAATTAATTTTTTTAAAAAAAATGAAGAGGAAAGGAAAGATAAAATTGGTTGTTTAAATGATATATAGATATTGTGTATATAACGAATGTACCCTTCTGCTTAGGTACTCACTTACTCTATTCACTATATCTATTACGCATCTAGATATCTAGATACGTACATACATGAGTGAGTGAGTAAGTGAATAAATGAATAAAATATAATAAACACTATCCATCATACCTACTCCCCCCCGATCTCTCATCTCTCATTTCTCATTTCTCATCTCTCATCTCACCATCTCACCCTCCTCTTCCTCACCAAAAACAACAACAACAAAATTCCCAATCCTAAATAAAAATACAGCCACCTAGGTACCTTTCTTTTATCAAGAATATAAAAATCCATACCTATCTACCTACCAATATAACACACATCCAGAAAGAGAATACCTAGGTACTATACACATAAGATTACATATACCTATTACACACCGATCAACCGCTTCCTTCCTTCCATCCTTCGAGCTCGCTAAGTTTAAGGGGTGGGGGTGGGTAAGGTACGCATAGGTATGTAGGAATATATATATATATATATATCGAGTAGCTAGCTAGATAGCTAGCTACTGGGTTATAAAACCACCCATAGATCCTCAAATCAACAATCAGAAATTAAAAGTTCGACCGAGGGAAGAAAAAGTCTGAAGAATTGTAATGATGTTATGATGTTTTCAGGTACGTCTGTCTATCTATATCTACTTTAGTCGAAAGAATGAATCAAGACACAGAAGTCCATCAACTTATACACCTCACTTCCAAAAAAACAACAAAAAAAAACATCACAAAGCCACTCAGCATTCAACTCAATTCAATCTTCATTTAATTACAAAACGATAACCTGAATGCCTATAATCTAAAAATAATGATTGATAAGGAATTCTAATAATCATAATGAAAGTTCTGCAAGTCCACGTCTTCGTCTCTCCTCTAACTACTGTATAATCAATATATGTGAGGAATGCCTGTGAAGGGGCGAATCTACTTGCCCCCCTCTGTTCTCTAGAACTGGAAAAGGAGGTTCGAGAGGATCATCCTCACTCTCATCGCCAAACTCCTCTCTATTCTCGATGATTCCATCCTCGGGACTATTACTTTCATTAATGACCTCCTCTCTATCTTCAATATCGTTACTCATATTAACAACCTCCTCTCTATTCTCATTAATAACCTCCTCTCTATCCTCAATAATCATATCCTCAATATCGTTACTCTCATTGACAGACTCCTCTCTATTCTCAACAATTCCATTCTCGGGACCATTGCCTTCATTAATAATCCCCTCTCCATCCTCAATAATCCTATCCTCAATAATTCCATCCTCGATAATCCCATCTTCGGTGAGATCCTCAAAATTACCCCCAATCTCATTACCATCGTCCTGATTCTGCTCCGTCATTACTTCACCAATGGAGGCGCGCTGAACCATTGATCGGTCCCCGGTTTCAGCGTTGTATATTAAGAGATCGGTACTTCCGTTGGGAAAAGCTCTGCTAATGAGTAATCTGGACTGGCTAGGCTGCAGGCTACTTTTTTTTTTCAAACAATCGATGCCCAAGATCGAGCCACCATGACCAAAATCAGTGACCACCCATCTGCAAAAATCCTGGTCGCGTGAACATAGTCTGGGAACAGATATCTCGACAATGGACATTTGGCTGTCCGCCCAGTAGAATAATCTCTTCGACGTCCTGGGTTGAGAGGGGCCAGCCCAAGCCAAATTCACTGGATTGAGTGCAGAATTGACCTCTTCGGCTGTACTTGATACACACTGTGGACGGGATGGTCGGCGCGATTTTTTTTGATTCTAGCTCTGAAAATGAATGTTTCGCCCCTTTCTGTGGAATTATCATTCCGCTTCAGAAATGCGAGCCAGGAGAAACTACCAGGATTAAGAACTGGTACAGAGGTGTTACCAGTTATTCCGGTAGTTCGTATTTTTATAGGAATAAGTTCCTTCGACTTTTTCGGTGTCGGTAACTGATCAAAAGGAATAAATTAGACATCAGATATGCCATCATGTTGAGCCTGAGACTGTTCTTCGGTTTGAGCGACAAGAGCTAGTCCCGCTGTAGATATATCGAAATTTCTTGGTCCCATTGACACCCGGGTTGGAAAGGGAACATATCTAAGGTGAAATTTCTCGAGAAGATCACCACTCGTATAAAAAATATTGATGGACAGAGGTTCCCTTTGAAGCCTGAACACAAGGCACCGCAGTATTCGACCACCTGGCCTTGAGGAATATCCTGGAACATCGACTTCACTAACACTCGAGTGTGCTGAGGTTGTTCCAGCACCAATACCTGAGACTGCAATTGCCACGCAAATCTTCTGAGTCCAACCCTCTGAGTAATGTACTGCCTTCAAGATAGTCGTCAATGTATCAACATAGCCTGCGCTGGCCATGTGCCTTGCGCCGAGTTAGTCTTATCATTGGTGTATTGGACACAGGCTTGTTACATACAGTGCAAAGTGTGGGCCTTTGAGAGCGAAAAAATAAGTCTTATGGTTCATCTGCGCTTGACAAAGAAGGGTAGTTTCGTCGGCCCAGATGAAATTTGTTAATGTTGAGCCTGGAGGTGCGGACTCTGCTGACTTTGGCAGCTTGGTTGTTATACCAGTCAAAAGTTCTAACACATAATATGATGTTTCAGGGATATCTGGAGAGTATATTGTCTCATGATAAAGTGCCCAACGCCCATCTGCATTAACGATTGCTGCCGAGCGTTGAGGTACTGTCGGGAGATTTCTGTCTGCTATCAGCAATCACAATCGTAAGCACCGCCTAGAAGAAACAAACACTGGATCGGAGGAACTAGGATCGTTCGACATGATTTCCTGACTGCGCCTTTTGTAATGAAATGAGATGACGATGAGGAGAAGGAAATATGAAGTGCGAGGGCTTTTAAGCAAAGAGATGGAAAGAACTTGAGGGTAGAACGAGAAGATTGAAGGAGCTACGATTGCTTCTCATCTTCTCAGTGCTAATCTTAACATAATGCGATTAGGAAAGAGCGAGGGAAAGAGGGGATTAACAACTTCGCTGTGTGTATTCGAGTACGCAAAATAAGCAAGAATGAATCATGCTCTGTCGGTGCCCCAATTAAGGAATGTTGACACTCCAAAGCCGCAAAGTGAAATGACTAAAAATAACGCCAGCATTGACAGAATAAAACAGGACAACAAAAGTATCATCGAAAATTTGGCACATATTTATTATGCTCGTACTATGGATTTGATTCCCTTTATTATGCGGCTTTTGTCTGTACCCTATGATAATCAAGGCTTCTCAAGATTATGTTGGTAAAGTAGATTCGACCTCCGCAGCTGGTACAATCCCAAGTGATAGAGTTCACGAGGAAGTTTTATCCGAAAGCATCGTGTTATGATCGCAGACCGTCGTGGATGTTCAACCCTTTGGGTAAACTTATCGGCGTAAACCAGCTCATGACTGTGATCTCTCCAATATCTCCAACGTCTTCTAACGTATGTTATCATTGCTACCGCTCCTCATTATCTTGTTCTTTGAGATTTTCTAGGTGGGCCCCCATCTCCTTGGTGTTTCCTCTTTGGATTTGAACAATCCCTCGCCATGTGATTTCCTCCGCATGTATAACATTTTATATCAGATTTGATTCCACCTCCTGAGCCAAATGAGCCCCCTCCTGAGCCAGACAGAGATGTCAAGCCATTCAGTGAGACATGCTTCTTCTTTCTCTTTTTTGATAACTCCAGCAAGTCGGCCTTTTCCGCCTTCTTCTTGGCTTTACGTTCCTCTTTGAGCCGTTTTATTGCTTCCTGTTTTGAGGCCTTTATCAATTCCTTTGCGCCTGTTGGATCATCCTCACTATCCTCATCTTCAGATTCCTCCTCCTCGCTCTCCTCGTCCTCCTCTGATGATGTAAATTCTATGTCTGGATTTTGCTGTTTCTATTTGCCAGTCATTAGCATGCAATAAAGCGCAGATCATCAAAATGCATGGCATACCTCCAAAACTTTATTGAATTTTCCAAAACTCCTTCGACCGACCATAAATGGTTTTTCTTCTCCAAAATTGTTATCGTCATCATCAACACGTTCTGCTTTTATCGGCGAAGGTTGGTCTAGATTTGCGAAACCAGTCTGAACTACACGTAATGTGTTTGTTGGAGTATTGAGATGTTTCCTTCCCTCGAAGCTTAAAACCCATCGTGTGTCTCCTGCTTCAACGGCTGCTCTATCTAATGCGGCTTGCTTTTTGGCTTCTTCTTCCACTATTGCGGCTTGGATCGCGCGATTATCGGCTAAAGTGTCGACATTGAACTTTGTAGGAGTGTTTTGTGCTGTCTTTTGTCGCTTCGGTGATGGCTCATCTATTGAAGAAGGAGAAGTATTTGTAGGTGATGAAGCAGCAGCACGCTGCATGAATTTCATCGTCAAAAGCCTGGAAGACATAGCTTTTGGCGCACTTGTTGGGGTCCCTGCACTTGCCGACATGTTGTAGTTGTTGTTCATTCACAGTATGGAAGAAATTAGAAGAATGATAATTGAGAGGATGATGTAGAAGAATTTGCGAGATGAAATTATACTGTTGAATGTTAGTTGTAGATCTATAGACCTGCCACGATCTATAAAGTGTCTGTATAAGTAACACGGAGGTGGTGAAAGAAAGTCAAAAGCAAAAGTATTTACGGGGCTGCAAGGCGGACTTTTCCCCGATTAAAGATTAAGCTTCTGTGCTTTAAGGGCATTACGTAAGCGACCTGGAATTGAACGACAACGACCTTGAGTCTTTCTTCGGTTCCTCCGCAGCAATTGATTGAAACATCAGCATAATGTTGTCCACCGCCAGATCAAGAGCCGTATGGCAAATTTCTCGTAGAGTTCAGATCTCAGCCAGACGAACCTACGCATTTTCCGCAAATGATCAGCAAGAAATTAATGATCCAAACTCTCCGAAGAAAGTGCCCAATGTCTCGAAATCCAACGAGCTGCCGATAGAGAGTCACGTCCAGAATAAGCCATTGCAGGAGAGCTTCGAGACTGCGGAAAAGTTCAGGGTTATGCAGGCACCAAATAGAGAGGGCAAATGGTCGCGAAGTCAGAATCCTAGGGAGAAGGCAATGTCTGGACCTAGGTTTGAGCAGACCATTATGGAAGCTCAGGTATGTCAGACCCCGCGTTTTAAATGTTGCGCTTTAGTTCAGTTCTTGGAAATCATCCCAATTCGTATTTGTACGACATTTTAACATTTCTTCAGCCAGCACCACAATCAGCAATTAGCTTGATTCACCAACAACCAGTGCGATGGACGCACGATCGTATTGTGGCCTGCGATGGAGGTGGAGGAGCATTAGGACACCCAAGAATCTTCATCAACACTGATAAGCCCGAAATTTGCAACTGCACATACTGCGGATTACCGTTTGTAAGTCATCCCCGAACTGAGACCTCAAGCTAGATTTCTCTCCATCGTTAACCATAACGTCTTTTTGGCTGCATGCTCATTTACCCTACAGGCCAATGAACATCACCGAGCACACCTTGAATCTCTTCCAGAAACTGCATACCCTCTTGAAGCATGAGGTCATCCTGCCAATTTTTTTTATGAACCACGACGTATTACCGAGGGAAGATTGGTCAACGAGAGACTGTTCATAGATGGGAAGTCTATCGTTGACCATTAGTGTAAATACCGCGCAATGAGAATTTTAAGCAAGATTATCTGCCTACTTCTACAGTGATATTCCACCCGAACTGATCTTCTTAGAGAATACCAGTGATCCACTACAAGTCAAGCCTGTGTTATTGTGTTCTTCTATTAGAATAGCAACTTCAAGAAGATCTCTGGCAGCTTCATATTTCATATCGCTGATTTACAGATAGTGGGGATCATAGCATGTTGGCACTTGCTGATTTGATGCTTGAAGGCATCCATAAACAAGTTTCCGAGGACACCATGGAATAGTTTAACGTGGAGAATGATGCATAATTAGTAACATCCAACTCGTTGCATCAAGTAGAAGTTACTATGAGACCATAACAATAGGCACGTGAAACTCAAAGAATGATAGGAGACATCGCTTGTTGAGAGCTTACCAGCAAATTATCTATATCAGTTGCAGGATTATCTACAAGGGAAAAACAGAGCTATTGCTTGAGCCATGATGTCCTCTCTACCAAATGAATGTGAAAATGATTTTAGAATGGGAAAAGTGTACTCTAATAAGCTACCTACCTAGCATCTTCCAAAATGATAAAAGAAGTCTCTTGTACTCGAGTACATATGCATATTGTTAGGCTAGGCGAGGATTTGTCTTCGGGAAAATATTGGACGAGAGCGGCCGCACTCACCGATCGAGCTTCTTCTGCTGTTACTTGCGACAATCTAGAGCTTCCAAATCGAACAAAACTCCCATCTGTTATTTGAAGTATCTACAACATGTCTACCATCACAACCCCCGCCCTGCAAACTTCCTATCCTCCTATCCTCCCAAAATCTTTCAATGCCAATCAACCCAAAACAATTCGTCTTTTCCCCCTCTCAAATTACACTTTCGGCACCAAAGAAACCCAACCTGAAGAAGACCCCTCCGTCCTCGCGCGTCTCAAACGTTTAGAAGAACACTATGTCGAACACGGTATGCGACGAACCTGCGAAGGAATTCTCGTCTGTCATGAGCATAATCATCCTCACATCCTCATGCTTCAAATCGCAAATGCCTTCTTCAAACTCCCTGGAGATTATCTAAAGCCCGAAGACGATGAAGTAGAAGGTTTTAAACAAAGATTGAATGAGCGATTGGCACCTGTAGGCACTCAATTCAGTGGAGAGGGTGTAAATGAGGAGTGGGAAATTGGAGACACGTTGGCGCAGTGGTGGAGGCCGAACTTCGAAACTTTTATGTACCCGTTTATCCCGGCGCATGTTACAAGACCTAAGGAGTGCAAGAAGTTGTATTATATTCAACTTCCCAGACAGAGTATGTATCTTCTATTTTGTTAATAATCCCTTGAATTAAGAAATGCGGCATTACTAATACGTACACAGAAGTACTAAGTGTTCCCAAGAATATGAAACTCCTCGCAGTACCACTTTTCGAGCTCTACGATAACACAGCAAGATATGGTCCTCAACTCTCAGCAATTCCACATTTATTATCCAGATATAACTTCGAGTTTGTTGATGAGAAGGGTGATGTGGTAGCTGTTACTCCAGGCGGAGGACCAGAAGAAGGGTATGTGCCAAAGACGATCGTTTTGGCTGGGGGCGACGACGAAACAATGGGCGAAGCTGATGTCAAGGAAGAAAATGGCGTTCAATAATTACAGGATAATGATAGTGTTTTCAAAGCAATGGAAGGCACGGCAATGGCGTTCAAAGGTCAAAATATAATAGCTTGGAATAGCTAACGAATTGACCAGGTAGACATGAAAACTTTGATTTGTTAAAGATATCCAAAAAAAATCTCTCACGATTGTCACTTCATATCATGTTATTCATAATCATTGCAGCTATCTTGTATCGCGCCGTGAATGATGTACGAGTATGTCAAATACATATATCTAATCCCTGTCATCACACTCGGGAAGCTTCCAAACCATGACGTCCATACGATAAACCCCACTAGAATTCGAAGCAACTCAATTACATCCAAAATCTCTGGAATGCCATCTTCAAATTCCTCTTCATCTGCGCAACCCGACAAAGACGAAAACCCACGTCCAAACACACAATCAACATCATCTTTCCCAATTCTTTATATCCTCTTCGTACTAATCTTCCTCATCGCCCTCTTTCCGCCCCTCTTCCACGCTCTCTGGACACTCCCTTTCAAACTACTCCTCCCAAGCACATACAGTTCCGCTCTCTCGCCCGCCCGTTATACCAAGCCAGCCATCATGTCTTGGACACAAAAGACCATATCTCTCCCCTCTAAATCCCGCGGCTCATATCTCGTCACCGACCACATCGTCTCTTCAATTCCCGAAATCAAGAACTATAAAGTTGGGCTTCTGAATCTATTCATTCAACATACGAGTTGTGCAATTAGTTTGAATGAGAATTGGGATGAAGATGTTAGGGCTGATATGAGTGATGCGTTGGATAGGATTGCGCCAGAAGATAGGAAAGGAGAGTTGTATAGACACAGTGCGGAAGGACTGGACGACATGCCGGTTTGTACTCTTTTTGTTTATTACTTTGTTCTTCGATGGAGGAATAGAGGAGCGCTTAGGAAGTTGTATAAGACAGGGGCTAATCATTGTAGGCACATATCAAATCAGCGTTGGTTGGAGCAAGTGTTACGATTCCTATCACGAATGGAAAGTTGAATACGGGTACCTGGCAAGGGATATGGTATCTGGAGTTCAGATCTAGCAAACATACTAGGAAGGTTGTTGCTACGATCCAGGGTGAGAAGATGTAAATATAAGAAAATCTAGTGTTCTGATGGGTTGATCATTTGGACATGTGAAATGGGCATTGTTTCGGTTCTTTCGCTTTAGTTATGTCAGATGTTCCCTCTTGATCTTTGAGCGAAGTCTTGTTTTTTATTCTTTTCAACTCACGAGTGCTCCATCAATATCTGGGCTGGAGCTTAATATTGAGGCGACCTAGGTAGACCAAGGCTGGTTTCCAATATTACTCACTTTATGTTCAGCTGAACAGATCGAAATCATTTGATGACGAGGAACACAAATTGACGGAGCAAAAATGCGTGATAGCTTTCGTCTCTTCAATCTACAAGCATGCACCTAATTAACAATTTGTCTATTCTGACCAAGTAGAAGAAGCGCGAGTCGCTTATGTAATACATCCGTCTACTCGCTTTTCCGAGAACTTTCCCATCTATTTTCCCCCTCACCATCTCCATCTATTGAAAACAACATTTATGAGCCCACATAACATGGAACCCTACCAAGCAAAGTTTAAGTGATTATCATAACGGTGCTGAGCTTATCGGATACAAGAGATACTCGTTTCTGATTAAATGCATACCGTTTCTCTTGAATAGAAACAATGAATGGGAAACAAACGAAAATCGGATCTTTCAAAATGCTTCGAAAGTAACTTTCCGTGAATCAGATTCCAGGCCTCATTGCATAAACTTGCGAGTCTTCGGTTGCTAAAGATAGTGGAGAGATTGTCATACCCAGCCTTATGAGATGAGACCAAGTGGAGTCTGTGCCTCGAGTTTCAGCTCATTGCTACTCAAATTGATGATTTTTTGATCCCCAAATGAGCAGAAGCCTGTTCGAGAAATCCTTTGACATCCCAAGCTGGAGGCTATTCAATTAACCTCAATCATGAGGTGAATAATCCGATGTCTGGGGTTGTACTACTTGGCCATATCCTTCTGTTTTCCCTTCTCATCCAAGATATTAACCCCTCACGAAACGTCACAAATACAGTGCTGAGGGATCATGCATGTTATTCAAGCACTACAAATAGAGCCTCTATTGCCGTTTCATCTTCGAATTGTCTGTTCGCAGCTTTTTTTTTTGCAACTCCATCACGAATGTTCTTCAGTCAGCTGGATCTGTGAACTAACTTAATGAGCTGAATTTTGACATTTGTTCTCCTCCAGTAGTCTACGAGAGTAAGATGCCTCTCATTCGTAAGTACTGTCTACGAGTCTGAAGTCTTATAAAACTAAATTTGAATAGGGGGTCTACCGCAATACAGACGGGCAGTAGGTTTCCTGGCACTTCCTGCTTTGTTGTTTTATAGTAAGTGGCATGAATCCCAACAACGTAATGATCTATACTCACATCAGATCTCCTAGTGCTTGCGGCAATTGCAGCTCTTCCGGGGGTACCGGGAATATTCATAGAGAATATCCAAACGGATCTAGGGACCGGCAGTCTTGAAGTCAGAGTTGGATACTTTGGTTAGTGTTCTTTCGGCACTTCATGGAAGGAAACCAAACTGACCACGAGAAGGTACATGTCTTCGACGGACTGGCTCCGACGCTGATATAAAATTACAGTGCACCACTACTTCCAAGGGATTTAGTGATATACTTATCGAAAGTTCCAATAGCACATCAAATGCCACTGAAAAACTTCTCGTTTTTGCATCAGGGATGCAACGTGATGTTTTTGTTGGATCTCCATCCTTTTTCCCCGGAGCTGGGCTCCTATTCCTAATTAGCGTTTTGCTTCTCATACCCCTCGAGATAACCACTCGACCACCTGCAAGACTTACGCCCAAAACCGTTCTCTTCCTGAATCACGCCATCATAATGCTTTTTTGGTTCACTGCAGCGTGGTCTTTTGCAGGCGCATTATCGATTGTGGAAGTTGTAAGATCACAGCAAGAACTGTTGACTTTGGATGGGAGTAATAATATTACTGTTAAGGTTGGTGTGGTAGTGCAATTCCTGCAGTGGACTGCTTTCATTTTCACTTTCGTCTTTGCGAGCGGAGTTACGACTTTAAAAATGACGCATGAGCCGAGACTTCTTAATCCTGAAGAGACGGCGGCGAAAGCGGAACCGTTGGGTGGACAGGTGCAGTGGCGTGAATCTGTTTGATAGAGAGCTGTGTTGTTGGGCTATGGCTTTATTCTGATGCTGGCAATACTAGTTTGCCCCCGCAATATGCTTGGATGAACGAATGTATGTAGGCACTTCATTTTGGAAAGCTCAGCTGTGCCTACTCCATCAGAGCTTTAAAATTTTGCCATTTTTCGATATTTTACAGAAGGATCATCAAGCTACTGGAAGCATCATACCGACACAAGCCTCTTTCTTCTCGCAACCTGCTTGCAGAGGCTTGAGGTTTCGCGTTAGACAACTAGTCCACCTCCCGCTGTGTAAATCTCTACTGGCCATCAACACGGTCTCATTTTGCTTATTCGTTTTTAATTTACATAAATTTTCTTCAGCCATTATTGTTAGTGTGGACGACTTATAGAAATGTTTTTCACAGCGCCTGGATCGAGGTACTTCGAGCTGCACATATTCCAAGAGTTTATGGGAGAAAGAAGTAACATCTTGTTTCTGCACAGGTCCGAATGTTAAGTCACAATTTGGGAGAGCAAGGATAAATATCAGGTAATGAGATTTGAAAGTTTAGCTTATACATTGAGAATAGTAGGGTCGTAGAAGACTGCCATAGATGTGGAGAGATTGTCTCTACTTGTGATGGCAATTGGATGGCAGGCTATCAATGGAAGCTCTCGCTCACTTGCAGTCCTTCGGACTATCAGGAATATAGGAAGAATTTGAAATATCTCTGAGACAAACGAAAACATATCCAAGTCTATAGCAATGATGCAGTGCAGTAAAGCTTTGCAAAAAGTGTTCTCAGAATATGATGAGATGTGATAGTGTAATCCTAGATCAAAGATTCCCATCAAAGTTTTCGCTTCGAGTGATTTCCAGTAAGCGCATACCCAGCTAGGCTGGTTGACAATCATCCCATTGTTTCTACTCTCACATAGGCATCATACACTTCTAATATTACCAGCTTCCGGCAATGCCGCATGCATCCACATTCCTTCTCCACAAAAACACTCACATTAACATCACACACACCATAAAATATCCATCCCCATAAACATAGAAAAGTGCATGAATTTTTGAATTTCAAGTAGGATAACATAATTTCTAAACTAAAGCCTCTCTGCGCCATTCAAATGCAAATGCCAACGTATTTCCCGGTATCAAACCAAAAGTCCAGATACTCCTTCGCTATGCTGTGGTATGCTGTGTTCGAACTGTAGAGAATGAGTGACTGAGGGGCGAGACAGAAGAAAAGAGCTTGGTTGTTCGAAGTTTTCGAGAAATGAGTGTTGGTATCTTTAGATTGATAGAAAAAAGGAAGAAAGAGACTCGGGGGTATCAAGTATGAAAGAACAATGGAAATGAAACGAGAAGAGATTTTGGCGAAAAATTCCAAAGCTGCCTCTTCAAAAATGGAGATTCTTTGCCGATGAAGCGTCTTTTGATGTATTGATCATAAGTTTTAAAAAGACCAAAGAGGTATTTTAGAGCACAAAGCCCACCCGCAAAGACAAAAAGGTAGCAGTGAGCTCAGAACGCCAGACTCCATGGTATACCCTAAAATCCCTGCGAAACAAAACGTCGTAAATGTGAATTACATTCCCTCCACATTTTTTTGGGATCTGAAAACGCTATAGATCACAATATCGTGTTGATCTTGGTCAGAGGCATGTTCTCCTTGTCCCAATGATGAAGTCTTGGGATATATTCATACCAACTGTGTCGAGAATATCCTGAATCCCGCTATATCGAGAGCACTCTTCCATGTTATACACACGCCCTATCTATCATCTTCGTTTCCGACTAGGCGAATTAGGCTCTGCTAGCATATCTTCCAAAGTCATAGATCTATGAGCCGAAGAATAAAGTTCCTCGTAAACATCCGGATTACTTGGTAACGGCGAGTCATCATGATGAGAAATCTTTGTTTCGACTCGTCCAGCGCCTCCTAACGGATTCATCGCCATTGGATTTTTAGGATCTGCAGGCTCGGAAGTTTGGACAATCTCAACGGTTTGTTCGGCGCGTCCAAGCGAGTCGTGATTTCCTTTAGATCTGGAAATGGAGAGTAGTACGTTGGTATGGGGAACTTCTTTGCGTCTAGAATGGTTGGGAGATCTAGATGCGGTTCTGGCTGGTGCCGGTGAGGCTGGTAACTATTGAGAGCACGATGTGTTAGCTTTTTCAAGTCGAAGGGAGTTTAATCGGAACTGCGCTGAAAATCATATACATACAACGTAGGTGTGGGTTGACTGTTTATCAGGCTCAGATTCAGGTCCTCCTCGAATCGCTTCCATGAAATCGATCTCTCTCGAGTCTTCAGCAGAGCAAAGCTCAATACCATCTGTATTTCTGGCCGATCTCATATCAGATCTAGATACGAGGTGGCTGGATCCAGTACCAGCTTTGAGGCGTCGATAAAGGGCGTTGAGTATAGGAGCATTGGCAAAAAAACGCCTGCAATGGATATGTTAGAATGTCTCTTTATGTGATCATACGAATAAGGCACTTACCATCAGAAGACACTCCATGTTACCCCAGAAAAACCTATCGTCAATTTCTTGGGTTTTGCTTTCCTGCAACACAGTTCGTATGATAGATATTATAACAAGCTAGAGATCTCTTAGAATCGTATCAACTGCAATTGAGCGGTTACTTACGAATATACCAATGAGGAACACGGCTGATACTTTAAGCTTTGTACTAAAGAAGAGGTCAAAATGACGAGAAAATAAATCATATAAATCTTATTTAGATAGTACATACGCTGTCATCATCTGTGTTCGCCAAATCATCGGCAAAGGAATAGTAATCAAAATGACATTAGTTACAATGATCGACTTGACAGTTGTTAGCTTGAGAAGAGGCACAGAAAGAGGATTTACTCACAATTGCCATGAACAGCAGTCCCGCTCTCTAATAAACATCAATACAGTGTCTTTTTAGAATCTCATCGTATTAAGTACTTACTCCTTCCTAAGGGAAACTGTCAGCAAAATCTCCAATAGCATTTCGGGATACTCACTGCGCATTTTTGATGGGGGTTTGTAAACTTCCAATTCAGATTAAATGGGTGGCATTGAAGCATCCACGTTAAAATAGTAGTTGTCCAGGTCGCAGCAATCAACCAGGAAGTGAAGATCACATATCTCTGTTCCGGCTGCCGAGTTGTCAAACGGTAATAGTAAAGTAACTGTCAAGCTTGTCAGAACATATATCTCGAACAAGTGCGTATATTTGCAGCGTACAATGCAAGCTTTTAGAGACCAAATGTAAGATAGATAGGCAATACGTCCGAACATGATGTATTTTGAGTCAAACTCCGCTGTTTCGATGTTAGATGGCATTATCAATTATGGGAGATGATTGGCATTTACTTTCTTCGATAGTTTCAGCATCTGAGTGGGCATGTTTTCCTGATCCGGTTGCGAGCTGTGATAGTAAGTGTTAGCAATGTGGAAATTTTTGGAACAAACAAGAAGCAACATACAAGAACGGGGAATGTAGAAGCAAAACCTCCCATGAGGAAGAAAGCACCTATCATGAGCCAGTCATCAGGGTAGATCTTCTCATGCTTGATTCGCCTTAAGCAGAATCTAGCACAGGTTAACAACAGCACTATAGCTGTGACTGCATAAGCTGTCTGAGCAACCTGCTCAGTGTTTTCAATCATTTTTTCTGGCCAGGATAAAGGTCGAAATCAAATTCCAGGGAGAGTGTAAGAAAAAAAAAAGTAAACTGTATAGAATGGACAGAATTATAAGCTAGGTCAGTTGTAATCGAGAGCTTGACGGCACTGTGCAGTGACTAAGCTTAAATTGAAGAATATTAAGAGATGATCGCCTTGTGGTTTCTACGTTTTCTGTACTTGTAAAATTTGAGGTGGGCAATGCTTGGGTAATCTTAAATGCAGTGAATCTCTTCTGGCTAGGAATTCAATGATAGAGGAATATCCGACGATAGTCTTTGAACCAATACAATATCCTGCCTGAGGGCCTGGTCAAAGATGTTAATGACTTTATCACCATAGCCTCAGTATTATCAAAAGAAGGTTTTTGATAAATAATCCTATGTCTATCAGAGCCACGGATGAATGATGAGATGAGAAATTGTGCTTGCAAACTCCCTAACTTGAAGGCTGTGTATTCACTTGAGGTTGTATACATTGTATTTATCTGGAGCTCATATCTTACCAAAGCCAATCTCAGCCACTCTCGATGTACTTTTATCGCGAATGAAATAATACTCAAGTGTGAATATCAACGGCAATATCTCTCCAGCAAGTATTGAGTAGTCACTTGTGTATAGCTATGCAGAAAACTTAAATTGCTAGTGCTCAACAAAGAAAATAGTCATAAACTTCCTTCCTTCCCTTCCCTTAAGTAAGGTACATCCAATGGCAATCTATAATTACGAGTAGATCTGGTATCTCATACTAATAAGGGAGAAGTTTTCCTCTGTCCAGCAGGATAGAATGCTGTTCATCCGTTGAGAATTTTAGCACAGTCGGCTACCTGTAGAAGCATGACTAAAAGCATGACACAGTGTAGTTGTATTCCACACTGTGATAGTTTGGACTTCCAAGAATTATAGGAGATATCTGCGTATGATATGAATACAATCCTATATAAGTTTAAAAGTGTTAGAAACCGTAGGTCTTTCATCTCAAGACACACTTGAGTCCCTATTAATAATTAGCTTTGGATTTCACATGATTTCAGATAGCATTATGTCAATTCTAACGCTGCGCAATTATACGAAGCCTGAGTCAGAAGCCGTCATTATTATGTCCTGGCAAGAGCCCGTTCAGAAGGATTTGATAGAAATACCAGGCAATTGATGAATAATCTATTGATTGAACGAATCAAGCAACTGCGGTGGTTTCCGTAACCCCAATCCACGATGATCGCTTAAATTATGAATCCTTGTTAGCGCTGTACGAATTTTCCAAATAAATACGGTAGTAGCCTCCGAATCACGTATGAAACAGGGGTATCAAGCTTCATAAATAAAGGTCTGTACCGAAAGATGGAATGAACCTTGACGCTCTTCAGATACTCTTCATTCTCCTAACGCCTCAATACCAATTAGCACTTCCCTAGGAGATGCTCCGACGACTAAACAACATCGCAGCGACGGAAAGTCGGGACGCATCAGAAAGCCTACTGGAGCCACGACAATATCGGTAGGGTTCGGGGTGTCGACGGCAGTACCACAACAAGTACTAGTCAGAATCACTTCGGGACAATTGCAATCAATTTGGTTTGAATACGTTATCAAAGATCCGCTCTCCAAAATCTCATGTAAGTTACATGTAGTTTCAATCCGAGTCCAACAACTAACCGTTGCCGATGATCCTGAAATCGACTCGCAACCCCGAACTCTGCTAAAATTTCACTTTCGTGGAGAAAGAATTATCATAGTGTTACTTCTTGGTAGCATACTTGACCGCCAGGTGAACCATCGCGAAGCTTCTTTGTCCACGAGCTCGCAATCGTAATTTATAATTACCTGTGCTAACATGATCTTCATAACGGCCGCTGCATAATATCGCCCAGGACTCGATGAAGGCTAACCTTGTGTCAAGAAATGGGCATGAGTTGGTCGAGCATATCGATTAATCTGTGGCAATTCTGGACCAGGAAGAAGCACTAGATCGACGAATCGAAATCCTCAAGATTGAAGCGGTTAGGGGTATTCTTTTGGGTCCTGCATCATGGCTTGAACCGGAGTACAAGCCCAATCTCCAATCTCAACTCTTGTTCCATCTGAGAGGGTAAATGGTTGTAGAGCATGTCTCCTGGTGTTCACTTTGAGAAGGGGTTACCCTTTATCTGTTTCTAGCAAGATGAGCTTGGGCCCACTGGATTCGACGGGTGTTAGACGATCTGATTCTTTGATAAAGCTATCAAGAAGAGGCAAGCCCTGGGCCGTTTGTTCAACCAGAGCATATCCGGGCCCTTCAATTTCTTCTCGTAATGGATCCACATATTCTGGGTGCAGGCATAAGTCGTGGATGGCAAAACTTATGGTTGTGGAAAGTGCATGGACAGATCCAAACCAAATCGCCATTAACTCATGAACAATTCGTTGTCCTGTCCATGGATTCTTCTTTGGTGCCGTCTCCATGATCCATTGGATACAGTCGTGCTATTTGTTGCATCTTTAGCTCAAGCTTTCGTTGTGTTGTTGTGATTTGTACCTACATGCTTGAGGATGGTTTGCCCCATTTTTTCCAATTGTTTTTCGAGCAATCGACGCTCCGCGACTGGTAGTAAAGTATCAAAAATTGTTCGATGAGACGATAGCATGCCGGCTAGAAGTTGTTCTATAGGTCTGCCAACTCATCAGATTTGGCTTCTCTTAAGGTAACAGAGGAGTGAATACTTACTGAGCTAACCACCTCGGTAAAAGTCGCGCAGTTTCTGCGGTCATCAATGTATCCTCGATGAAGCTCAGGGCAGATTTCATGAATTCTTTTTATTTCCAGCTATTATACGTACTTGTCAGTCATTTTGAGTAGTCAGTTGAGCTACCACAAGAACTTACCCAACTCTTCGCCGAAAAGTGCTAGGGAATTAGCGAGCACTGTCAGTTGCACAATCATCGGGTATAAAGGCGAGTGCTTGGATCCTGGGGTCCGGTTAGTAATTTTCAAATTAAGTTTCTCTACCACTTACCATTCACAACCTTGTGTGCGTCGTGCATCTTGGAAAAGTTATTTGCGGTGACAATCCGGAGGCTAGGGAGTATGGATGGTAGGTTGTTGGTCAAAAGTGTACGGAGAGCTTTAATGAAGACAACACCTTCAGTTCCTCTTCGATCAAACTAATTAAACCCAGACATCGTGTATTTGGGCTGAAGCATCTAAAAAGTATTAGTTTGCAGTCTCGTTTTGGCTGAAAATTGATTATATTACCTGTTTTGATGCTGCTTGAAGTGATAACAGTGACACTGTATCTGGAGCATTGTTTAGCTCGCCAATGTGTTTCTGTGATTAAACAAAGACATTTCTGTTTTCGGGAACCAAAATTTCAAAAGGCTCGCCATTTGCCTGATCAAGCGGTCAGTTTATCTCGCCTAGTATATAGATAATTCCCAGTCTCTACCTTATTGTAGGCTGTCTGGATGATGAGAGGTCTGGAGAACAAATACAACCACGCTTTCAGTCGTCTTTTCAAAACATCATAAGGATGGAGAATTCTAGAAAGAGTGCTGACCCTGTGGTGGCATAATCCGTGGTTAACGAAGCGATTGCTTCATCAAGTACGATAAAATTTTCAATAATTAATATTGTATTGAAAAGATTGTTCTTAAAGTATTAATATGATTAATCTTATTTCTGTATTTAACGAAAGGATTTTACTCTAAAAGGACGTAAAGAATTTTCGAAAGTTCTAGTCTAAAGTAATCACTTTTAAATATTTCTATTAAAATCAAGTCATATTATTGTTTATTTAATACATTCTATATTGTATAGTATAGTGGTAAAGCTTTTGCTTAAAGAATAAATTGAAAGTGGGTGGTAAGGGGTGGAAATCTTTCCCTCATTAAACTTTCGATTAATGCCTTTCACTTACTCTATCCATTATTTAATTCCTATACTCGCTTTCCCCCTTCTTTAACTTTTACGCTTACTTCTCTTTTTCTTTAGTTTTTATACTCATTTCCCTCTTAATTTCTATACTCGCTTTCTTCTATCCACTTTTCCCTAAGGCTTTTTAGAATCCTTATTTTCTTTATATTTATTAAAATTCAATAATAAACGGTTCTCATTTTGAATTGGAAATATATTATTGCTAATGAAACACTCATTTTGTTAGTGATGAAAAAAATATTAATCTTATACTGTATGTTTTGATAGTTATAAAGGAATTTGTATTGAATTCCTTTTTATACCTGGGTATTAACTTTACCACCACAGGGTGAGAGATTTGGAACCTTCCGAGTTCTGCTTCCACTTTTGGAAAAGGGTGGCCAGAGTTACTGTAACTACGAAAATAGTGGCAACCTGAGAGAAGAAGATCTCAAATGATGTGTTTAGTTAAATTTTTCAAGTTCTAGGGGGGTTGCCGAAGTTACATACGCGACTAAATAAATTTCTTCGTTGAAAAGGGCAGTCATATGACTGATGATAATTAATGTACGGTTTTCTGCTGTAGCGGTTAGGAAAGCAACAAATTCAAATACAGAGTCAAGGAAAGATTACATCACAATATATCTTATTACGGTATGTTCGTATAAATTAAATAAACTTTAGAATCTACAAGTGTAGATTACGGATATTTTTCATGGGGGAATATAAAGGAAGGCAAGGCCCAATACCGGTATTTATCCCGAAATATACGGACAAGAAAACACACTTTTCCCTTTTCGTTCTATAACTTTTGAATTGACGAGTCAAAAGTAGATGAGAACCCCATGAAGTTTTGATGAAGTTTAGGTTTCACTTCCGACTACCCAGAGCTACCACAAAGGAGAAACTGTCTTTGGTTTTTCTTGTCGTTGAATTTAGATGATACACCGAAATGCTTCCGGAGCGTCACATCTTCTGTAGAATACTTAGGAAACCTCACTCCGAGGTGAACTCCATAAAAGATGTCTGTCGGTGATGCGAGATCAATATCATGGATTTTATCACGCGCCCGGAAAAACGAATGGTGCAGCTTCTTGTCCTAGCGAACCGAGATGTAGTATGTACAGTACTGTCCTTTTTTATATAAATAAAAACAACAGCGTAAAAAAATGTTGCAACTCTGAATACATTGTGAAACAAAAAACTTATGCAACATCGGGTCAAAAGTATCTTTTGAGTATTTATTGTGAACTCAGTATCTAGACGAGGGATTCCGTAGATGCAACTTCGCAGGATCACTAGTAGTCGGCCCCTAGATAGACCGGCTATTACCTAGCATATCATATTGAACCGGTTGCTTCTGCATAACATCCCCAGAATAAACGCAAGGCGGCATTGAAGTGCCTGTATGAAGAGTCGGCTTACAACAGGGCTGCGAGGGCACCCCACCATCTCAATCCATCACGGTAAAGAAACTGCGGAAGCTACTGTTTGCCGTAAAGGAACGCCGAGTACAACTTCATGTGCCTCTTGCGCCCCAACTGTGCCTCTTGAAATTTTTATTGGGATGACCTGTGAATGGATCGGAAACAGTAAAAACACCCAGACTTGCATCCGACATCCTTGATTTTCAATCCTGCGGCTTCTGCAAAAGTACGGCGAAGATCCGGGGAAAACTGGTACTAGGTATTTACTCTACTATTTGGGACAGAGCTTCATATTAAGTGCATAATATATTATTTACTATTACACGTATACCAACTGATACCAACAGTTCATTTTGTCTGAGTCACGTAGGCTTGCATCCAATGACAAGACCCACAGGCATACATTTAAGCGACATATTTTCTTACCACACAAAAACGCGAAGTCGAAACTTATTTAAAATAAAAGTCTCTTTGTGGTCATCTGTTACTCTCTTCAGCTGTTTTATACAACTTGCAACTTCATCTTACTGGCCTATCATCATGAACTGTTCAGTGTTTTCGATCAATTTCCCGGGACAGGTGTTCTTCCCAGGAAGCATGCAATACGCGGCAAGCAAAGCCTCGTACTTTGCAGCCTTTGAGAACGAGCTTTCCCCGGCATGCTTCATTCAGCCAAACAGCACCGCAGATGTTGCAGAAGTCATCAAACAATCTCAGTCGGATAGATCGGTCAGCACTGCTAAGCTTGCTATCCGAAGTGGTGGGCATACCCCATGGGCTGGCTCGGCAAACATCCAAAGTGGGATTATCATTAAGTTGTCAAGATTGATTGAAGTCACACTAAACTCAAAGACGAACATTGTCTCCGTCGGTGTGGGTAACTCATGGGGTAACGTCTACAAATTTCTTAGTGACAAGGGACTTGCTATTGTCGGTGGAAGAGTATCTACTGTTGGTGTCGGTGGGTTAAATTTAGGCGGTTAGTTAAATGCACAAGCCACATGCAACACTCCCCCCCTTTCCTCCCCCCTTCTCTTTCTGGGTATATGTATATCTAATCATTACTAGGTGGCCTGTCGTTTTTCTCTGCAGAAACAGGATCCGTGTGTGATAATGTGGTGAACTTCGAAGTTGTCCTAGCATCTGGGGGAATAGTTCAAGCCAATGCAACTTCCCATCCTGACCTTTTCATTGCTTTGAAAGGTGGATCCAACAACTTTGGTGTTGTGAAAAAGATTGACTTTCCGACATTCGAGCAGGGCCAAATGTGGGGCGGTTCTATTTTCTTCGAAAAATCTGCATACCCTTCGCTCATCTAGTCCTTTTATAATTTTGCTACCAATACCACGCCAGATTTGAAGGCACATGTGATTGTGTCAAGTGCCTGGATTGGAGGCGGAACAGGAGAGTTGGCCACGGCAAATCTTTACCATACAACCCCCATTGCCGACCCTCCATCATTGAGGCCTTTTGCAGAAGCTCAGCCACAGCTCCAGAGTACTCTACGCAACGACTCCTTGCTTGAATTCACAGAAGAGCAGTCCACCTATGCTACCAACGGCGATCGACAATGGTTCTTCACCACAAGTTTCCGGCTTGACGAGCAACTCATGCTCGACATTCATCAACTATGGCTAGATGCAGTCTCAGGCATGAATGAGAAAGGCCTTTCAATTGCTCTTGTATACCAGCCTGTCATCAAAAGCCTCATATCCAATTCATTGAAAGCCGGTGTCAATTCACTCGGCTTAAATGTATCCGATGGACCTTTTGTTGTTTGCCTTCTGGACGCTGTGTTTATAGACTCGACTCTCGATGATACAATCTCCGCCGCAATGCTTAGATTAGTTGGGGGCATTGATACATTGGCTGCCAAACGAAACTTGAGTTCTGAGTACAAATTTCTCAATTATGCGTTCAATAGCCAGAGTGTGATTGAGGGTTATGAAAAGCAAGTATCGCCAGATTGAAGAGTACAAGTGAATTGTACGACCCAACACAATTCTTTCAGGAAGGGTTCCAGGTGGTTTCAAGCTCACTAGTGTAGATTGTTAAGATTGGAAATATGTCTGTGAAAAACGTGTTTCTGGGAGGATAAATATTTATTTCAACACAAGTTGTTTCTCTGTGCCATCTGATAAGAATCTTGATATTGGAAAAACCCAATCGAATACTCATCTATATCCTCGTTTGCAACCATACCTAGTACTGGTACTCTCAACTGATTTTTGGAAGCGTGATTTGAGGTTTAGCCTGCTTGATTTGCTCAATCTCGGTTCGTCTTTGCCCCGTAAAGATAATTTCTTAGCTTTAAGATTAAGGACATTTGGTCCTCATATTTAGTATCTTACTCATTTCGACTAAGACCTTAGCTGATTCTTGACACGTTAGAGCTCACCGGCTCTAGACGTCCTACATAGTCTTAGACTGATACAGGACGATCAGTCAATCAATTATTAGCTGATTCTTATCATTTTGAGCGTAGAATACCTGTATAAAATGATAGAATTTAGGATCTAGATTCCTAATGAATTATCCTCATAGAAACCATTTGAAGATACTATACTAAAAAGTATATTGAGACCGAAGAATCTATCAACAGATCTGTTTTTCATGTTTTTAGAAGTTTATATATAATAAAGATATGTATTGCAAGTGATTAAAGACATTCTACGGACATTAATTCACCCAATTAGGCATAGTTAATAAATTTGAAGATTTTATAAAAGTGATATTTCCAGAAAGAGGCTAGGTAGATCTGGGGGGGGGGCTAACTTGCTTTATTTACTTGTTTTAAACTATACCCGATTTCATAACGTGTGTTCAAAACGTGACTTTTTTTGATCTAATCAACTTTTTGCTAAATTCTATATTAAAATAATTCAATTGCTTTCAATTCAATCAATATAACTCCAAATTCAAAAAAACTTTGCATCATAATATAGATCTCAATTGATAGAATCTATAAATAAAATTTGAATAGAATTGATCAAAAATTCATTGAATTGGAGGTGGTTGAATGAAATTGTGATTTTTGGAGTAGTTTTCAGGGGTTTGAACTTTCGAAATTGAATTTTTATTTATAGATTCTATCAATTGAGATCTATATTATGGTACAAAGTTTTTTTGAATTTGGAGTTATATTGATTGAATTGAATTTTCCAATTTCAAAAGTTCAATTAGGTGATATTGAAAAAGGTGCTTTTTCTTTTGGACACACGTTATGAATTCGGGTATAGTAAGACTTAGCGAGATTCACTAATTAATTAGAAAGGAGTATCGTAGAGTTCGAAATGTTAATTATTACTAGTCTACTATTATATTTGACTAGTTACTCTATTAGGGATTCGACTGAAATTAGAGAGATTATCACTAGTAATCTCCTAATCGAGTAACAGTAAAATAAAGCGTGCAGAATGCCTTTATTAATTACTAGGTAGTTGTTGGTAATCTTACAACCACTAATGCAGGTCACCCTCTGAAGTCTAAAAGTTATAGGGGGTGGGCACCATCGGCGCAGAACTACGGCACACTACATCCGTACACAACATAGCCGAATAGCTACTGCCCCCGTACACTAGGTACTGTGCCGTTCGGCTTGGGGTCTGTCTTCTCAATCCATTCTTCCCGATCATCTTATTTCCGTTTCCGCGATTATGATTTTTGAGCATCAATATCTACGATGTCCAGATTCCCAGAAACGAAAGAAGCTATTGCTGAGGTCCCTTCAACAATAGCAACCTCTCGCAACGATACTACCAATGAGAACTCGAATACACTATCAACAACTCACTCCTGGCGATTTTGGTTCATCTTCTTTGCGCTATGCCTCATCTCTTTTGTATGTAGTATAGATGCAACTATTGTTGTGACAGCGCTGCCCACAATTACGAGAGAAATTGGAGGTGAAGAGCAATACATATGGATCGCCAATTCATTCGTTTTTGCGTCAACTGCACCTCAACCTCTCTTCGCTCAGATTTCCAATATTCTGGGAAGACGCAATCCATTTATTTTCGCTATTTGCCTCTTTGCTCTTGGAAGCGGTCTTGCTGGCGGTGCCACAACTCCAGCTATGCTCATTGCCGGACGAACAATACAAGGAGTTGGCGCAGGGAGCTGTTATGTACTTCTTGATGTTGTACTTTGCGACATAGTGCCTCTCCGCCAAAGAGGCAAGTATCTCGGTATCATGCTCGGGACTTCAGCGATTGGGGTAACGATAGGACCTCTCATAGGTGGAGCTTTTGCCCAAGCCAGTTGGCGTTGGATATTCTACCTGAATCTACCCTTTTCGGGCCTCTCTTTAGCTTTCGTTTTCGGTTTACTAAACATGCGTTGGAATCGGAGCCCATCATGGAAGCATGCTCTAAAACGAGTTGACTTTCTTGGTAACGCAATTCTTATCCCATCGATCGTGGCGGTCATGTTTGGTCTAACATTTGGCGGTATTCATTACCCGTGGAACTCCTACCACATCATTGTTCCGCTTGTCTTAGGTCTCGCCGGATGGATTCTCTTTCATCTTTACCAGGCATCATCATTTTGCAAGGAGCCTAGTGTCCCTCCGCGTATACTCAGCAATCGAACGTCCGTCGTCGGCTACTTTCTCGTATCTGTATCTGGTCTTTTGCTTGAATCGATCGGGGTTTTCATGCCAGTATACTTTCAAGCTGTATTCGGATCAAGCCCTTTAAAGTCTGGTATCTAACTACTTCCCACCACAATCACCGTTGTCCCTTTCGGGATTGCTGTGGGGATTATTATGTCGAAGACCGGCTTGTATCGTCCTTTGCACTGGATCGGTATGGGCCTCGCTAGCATTGGTGCTGGACTCCTCTCAACTCTGACAATGAACTCAAATAAAGCTTCATGGATCTGTTTTCAGATGATCATGGCAAGCGGCGCTGGTATGATTGCTGCATCAACATTACCTCCTATACTCGCCGCATTACCAGAATCAGACGTTGCGACTGCCAGTGGAATGTACTCTTTCTTGCGATCATTCAGATACATATGGGGCGTAACAGTTCCTTCGATCGTATTCAACGGCCAATTTCAAAAATACGCACATCAGATTGGCGACACAAAAATCCAAGCGCAGCTAGCGAATGGTGCGGCATATGCGTACGCGAGCGGAGGTTACATTGCGACATTGCCTCCAGGAGTAAAAGAGAGGGTGATCGGGGTATATATTGATGCGTTAAAGACAGTGTGGCAGGTTAGCATTGCTTTCGCGTGTATCGGATTTTTGGGTGTTTTTGCAGAAAAGCACCTGGAATTGAGGAAGGAGCTTGATACTGAGTATGGTATAGATGAAGGGCCGAAGAATAACAAGATCGGGGTTTCAGAGGAGGACAGAGTTGATACAGTGCCACCGGTAGCCTTGAAATTGGCGCAGTCAGAGATTTAGATTAAAATGCTTCTGCTAAGCAAAGTCTCTAAAATTTAATACAGTACCCGCCAGCCATTGGAAATCATGACGGTTCGTGTTGGTTCCATGGTCTCCGTATATAGATGAGTTGCCCATGCACTACTGTATACAATGAATTCTAGTAGAGGTTGAAAATACTCTACATCATGCATGCGTTCATACAACTTTCTAGGTGATGTTACTGACCCCTTCTTGTTTTGCTATTACATTGTATTTGAGATGTTATTCCCTTGGTATCGATTAAAATCAAAACAAGCTCAAACTTTACTGTTATCAATCATCCGTATCAATTCCTCATTTCACAATTTGCTTAAACATTTACGTTGTGAGTGGCTTCAAATTCCAAATTTGAAGCACTCCATACTATTCAATTAAATTCAACCCTGGCATACATTGGATTGAGGTTGATCTTGACACCCAGAAAAACCACCCCACGATTTTCAACTGAGCCCCGATTCAACGATTTCACTCCGCTCGAAATTTTCTTTCTTTTAGAGTTTTTCTCACACAATACTCAACAGCCTCACAACACTAAATGGAAGCGGCTCGTTTTCAGCGCCCCCTTTGATTCCCACCAATTGCGGATATATCCATGCAGGCACTGACCAGACTTGGAATAAAAATACCCTGACATACCCGATTACGTTCCTCAATTTCTCACTTCGCAAAATGCCGAATTTAAATGAACATTCCTTCACTATATTTTCAAGCACAATCCCAAAATAGATGGTAACTTACAAGCATAAAATCTTTCCCGAGGTATCAGGAACCGAGAGTTCCCAAACACGTCTCATACTTGCAGGTGCTTCCGACTGTGTGCATAGATAGATACCGGATGCCATATCAAGTATGTCAAAATTCTCTCCGAGGTGGATAGGTAGTCATTTAGCCTGAGATTGAATTATAGTTTCTATTAAACCCATACCAAAAATCCATAAAGTATGCGTTAGAAGTAAGAGAGTTGTAGTGGCCAACAATCAATGAGAGGATGTCATACATACATTTAACCGGCATATGTATCTGGTGAATAGATAACACTGCATTTTTGCTACCTACTGATCCATTGAGGGCTGCATTCGCTATCAATCCACTAGAAACTAGAGACCAGTCCGAGCTCAACGTAGTTACCGAGCAAAAGCACGAAATAGAAATTGCCAACAGTTGGAATCAAGAATCTACCCTATGATACCTTGGGATAGATGTGCCATATATTGACATTGTCAGCGGTACTGTGCAGCGCAAGGTATTCAAAAGAAGTTTGACTACAGCAGATAAACAGGGATCCGAGAATTTGACAGAGGCGCAGCAAATTACTTCCTCAGAGGCTAAGAAAGTATCACTATATCTCTAAGAGACTGCCATTCTTAGTAACCTTCAGGTATGAGGGAAAAAATGGAGAACCTTTTTATACCATTGCAAGCCATTGAAGGCAATCTGCTTACTTTGATAGCTTGCTTTCTGCTTTTAATTTCTTGGAGAGTCTATCGATTTACGATTACTCCATGGCTACATCCAGAGAACCCTAAAGAATTACCGTACTGGATTCCACGTGGGTCAATAAAGTCCCAGCAAGAACCGTTTTGTGTGCGCTGACATTCCAATCTTCCAGTTTTAGGTGAGCAGTCTTCGATATCATGTTCGAACACAAATGCAATTCATCTCGATATTTGCCTTTTGGAAGAACGAGCTGACTTCCAAAGGACGTACGGTGGGGTTCTATAGGAATGCGAATGATATCTTGGGACGTGGGAGGTATGTGCTCCGATAATCCGCAGAACTTCCTATAAGCCGAAACAAACGCTGAGAGCTCAAGGTATATTTTGGAGATACTAAAGCTCTATATTTAATCACACTCGCAGGTGAAACTCTTTGTGTGATCATTGGAGCGAGCGATATACAAGAGATCTACCGAAATAGCTCAACGATAACATGGGATAATTTGATCAAAGATATGTACTCCTTTGTGGGTCTATATCCTAGAAGCATCTCCCAGGTGTGACGTGAAACTCATGAACAGCTGGTTACCCCAGACTCCAAAAACCACACCCGATCAGCACACGAGATGACTTCTGAATATCATCGTCAGCAATTACTCACGGCGGTCAATTCTGAGAACCTCGTCCAGCAAATAATCCCAGGTCTTGAGAAAAGCCTTTCCTGGAACATATTGAGGAAACATCCCACTTGTATCCACACATCCGGAGACTCTATCACGCTTTCTCTGTGGAATTGGTGTAACGAAGTTATAATCAAGAGCTCAGCCACTGCATATTATGGACCCAAAATCTTCGAGATAAATCCAAATCTCTTACAAGCAATGATGTCATGGGAAGCTACAAACTGGAAATTTATGTACAAGTTACCTGACTTCATGGCACGAGATATGATTAATGCCAGAAGTGAATCTATTGACACGCTGTGCAAGTACTTTGAGACGCCGAAGAAAGACCGTTCCGATGCACTGTATTTTGTAACGGCCATGGAAGAAGAAATGCGGGCAGCTGGCTTGAATGACCGCGAAACTGCAGGCATACATATGCTATATTTACGGGCGTAAGTGTTATATCCAAGGCTATTCGAAACAGCTAACAAAGTTATAGAATTACCGCCAATGTATACAAGGCTGCATTCTGGGCAATAGCTCACATTGTCCATAGACCAGAATTGCTTACTCAAATCCGCGCAGAGATAGCTCCAGCTATAGGAACAAATGGAGAAACAGTAGATCTCAAGTATCTCACAGAAGACTGTCCACGGCTCGAAGCTTTCTTCAACGAAGTCCTGAGAATCAACTCGGCAGGAGCACTTGCACGCGAAGTCATCACACCCACATTTTTTAGTGGGAAAATACTTGCGAAAGGCACAAAACTTATGGTAAGGAAGCGGTATTTTTCTTTCACTTCCACCCAACTAATGTTGCGACCTAGATTCCATACCGCCAACTTCATCTTGATGGACAAGCATGGGGACCAAGCGCTCGTGACTTTGACCCAGAAAGATTTCTCAAGGACAAAAGCCTTATACGCAGTCAAAACTTCCGACCCTTTGGAGGCGGTCATACACTCTGTCCAGGCCGCTTTATTGCTAAGAAATCAGTTTACACCATCGTGGCTCTTATTTTTTCTCGATACGATGTTACTTTGGTAACTGACGCCGCCACTCAAAAGTTTCCACGCATAGATGACGCTACTGCAGGAATTGGAACAATGGCACCGATGCCTGGAGAAGACGTTAAGTTGGTCATTAAGCCGCTGAGGAATTGAGGAAGAAATATTCTATTGGGACTGATGATGTGGCATTGAGTAGCAGGATAGCGACTCGAATGAAATGTGTGCGTTTTTGGCTAGGGATTTAAAGTGCATAGTACAAACTATATACCTACGATATTTAGCTTCAAATTCTGTCAATTTGGACTTGTGGTACCTTGAATAGTGCTCTCAATGGCTAAGACTGCTGCTCATTCAATTCAGGATTCTAATGGTAAGGTTCTGAATATACTATCATTTTGATATCTCTTGCGTATGCCCGCGTGGATTCTTACAGACTGGTAGACTGACTTAAATGATAGATCTAAGAGTATTCCCGAAGAACCCCTCTTTGTATGCTCACGGGAGCCTACTCCGAAAACAACAGATTAAGGCAGGATAATGTCTCAAAAACTAGCGGATAAATACTATTTGAAGCTGTGATGGCATTAGTTCCCTCTATGTTATTCATAGTAAAACTAAGAAGGATTCATATATGCAATGCTACTCAGGGAAGAAATTATATTACTCATGTATAAGGGAGACAAGCGGCTGAAATTGAGAACCTTTACGAATTCTTTATAAATCAAACAATACCTACTTGTTTATAAGCGAACGGGATTTACTTTGGCTACAAAATTTGAAGAAAAACTAGCTTCATTTCCATTTTATTCCTCAATATATCACTATTGTATTAAAAGTTGATTTATGATTTCATTTAATTCGTGAGATTGAAGTAGGTTTTCAATTCCGGTCACTTCTTTCGCTTACGTAGAGCGGGTCCTTTGAAAGTCCGCCGGATACAATACGCGATCTGACCATACATTCTGCGATTCCTCAGAACTTGGAAATGATATTGAGAAAGCATTACAATAAAAAAGGCCAAGAGCTATGCAATGTTTGAAATCAATACTCAAAATTTGACTCTAATTCCAAAGTGAAAATTTACGAAGTTGACTTTGATCTGTATTTCGAAGTAGTCAAATCTAAGAGGTTGATTTTGGTAAAGAAACTCGCTAAATTTCAAGTCCGGTCTTCAAGGGCGACGCTCCCGATTTGTATTAAATTAGATATAACGGCTGTAAGTAAATTACCAAGATAACTAGATTATTTTCACTAGCTCGAGCATACGAGACCGATGACTGGCAATAAGCTCTGTGTGAGGAAATGACCCTATGCCTGAGCGGGACTTGATCGACTAAACAGTAGGATTCTTCTTACATACAACTAAACGTAAGATCCCATATAGTCATCGCGTCTAATTTCAAACATTGATAATTATTGCGAAGCACAGCATTGATTCAGAGAAGATATCTCTCCGTTATTGTACCCAGTCTTGGATACTAAAGACTATTGCACTGAATTTGGGTATTTCCTGTTGTCAAATGAAAGTTGAGTGCTCGTCTTGGATTACTGCGTGATTTTGGTCACTTGATAGGCCACTTCTTTTGATACTGATACTGATAGTTTATAATTTCAGTAATCTGGTTCCATGTGGTGTAAGATATAGAGTGCTAATTGTGGTAATGTTGAGAATCGTCGAAAAGAACAAACGTGATGAGTACAAGCTTGCTCGCAGCAGCCTGGGCTGTAGACACTGGGTGTAAGTTACGTATGATCTAAACTTAGACATTATGAAACAGATTTTTTTTTGTCACAAAAAAACATTGATTAGGGATTTTAAGGATGCCGGATTTATCTCACCATCAATTCGTCTTACAACCGAAGACGCTGTTAATGGGTTGAGATACAACTACACGAAAGGCAAAGATCCCGAGCCAGAAAAGATTGATCCGGGTACCTTCGTAGCAGATATACCAAAACAAGTAAAGAAATTCAAGAATACTGATACAAAAGACGCTGGATCTGGATCTTATAGGAGCACGGGCTCCGGTTCCGACTTTGTTAGAAGTCGTCAAAAGACATAAAGGTTTTAAGACAATACCTGATATATAATATTTGACATTGTACGAATATTTTGGAATATCAGAAGGATGGGAGATATAGAGATCGATGGTCAAAGCAGTATTTATGTCTTGATTGTAGAGTGGAGGTGTTTGTAAAATTGTTTTTGTACTGTAAGATTACAGTTGCTGAAGAGTTTGTTGGGAGGTTAGAAGTTAAAACGAGAGAACAGTTTAGATCTAAATCTTCACTTTTAAATTACATTAGTAATGAAAGTGATATAGGTAGACCACCAGACAACACTCAAGAGTATCGAGATCTAACGTTAAAATCCTGTCCCTTCCAGTTGTTTACTTTGAAACTGACCAATAACTCATATATAAGAAATTTCACCAAAGCAACACCTCAGATATAACTTCTCATTAATCTATTCGAGGTTTCACTATCGTCTTGTTCTTCAGTGTTGGTTTTTAGAACGAAGCTTCAAGTCTCAAGTTCGCTTCCAACAGTTCAATGACACTCGCATTGAATATAATCACTTCAGCCGCAAGAAAAATAGAACTCAAATCAACGATAGCTGAGAGCAGAATCGCGAAAGGATAAAGCGAGTAAAAATGCTTTTTCGATTCAGAGGTCAATGGATCATTAACTGGATGGATGTACTTCCATCGAACTATGGGGTTGTTGAAACGCTACTCGCTAACCTTCACAACCACCTTTCCAAAATGACCCCCGTTATACAAATACTTCAATCCCTCTTTGGCCTCCTCAAACCCAAATACCTTATCAACCACTGGTCTAATCTTCTTTTCCTGATACCACTCCAACATTTCCTCAAATCTCTCTCTTGGTCCATTCAAAATTCCCTTCAACGTAACGTTTCTTCTCAGCGCAAGAACATTGGTGTTTGTGCGATCTGCATTGTCGTCTTCTTTCCCGGAGAGATATCCGATAGCATTAATTAGTCCACCAAAAGCAATTGCATCGAATGATTGACGAAGCGTCAAGGCACCACCTGTTTCGAAAATATTGGAAACGCCCTCGTTATGAGTAATCTTCATTACTTCTTCGGACCAAATGGGTGTGGTACGGTAATTGATTGTGTGGTCTGCGCCAAGGGTTTTGGCTTGAGCGAGTTTGGCATCGGAAGAAGAAGTTATGATTACTAGATAATTTTTAGTTGCTTGAACTTTTGAGATGAGACGTTAGAATTACCTTCCATGCCACTGGCTTTGGCAATTTGCAATCCGCTGATTGCTACTCCTCCAGTTCCTTGAATCAATACTGTTTCTCCCTTTCCGCCCGGTTGTCCAAGGGGTCTCATGCCATTGATTGCCATCCAAGCTGTGACTCCAGCAATTGGCAATGTACAAGCTTCTTCATCGGTCAGATATTCTGGTTTTTTGACCAAACCCTCCGCATCAAATACACGGTACTCTTGCAAACAACCTTCGGTAGGCAATCCTAAACCACTAGCCATATCCTTTGCAGTCACTTGACCACGAACATGTGTCTGATTAAAGGTTGCAAGTACTCTATCACCAGACTTCCATTTTGAGGATTTGGATGATACAATTATTCCAGAAATATCCGAACAGGGGACCAGAGACGAGGACTCGTTGCCAGTAGTTTTGTGGTGGTTGTAAAGTCCCATTATCACTTCAGTATCTCGATAATTGAGAGCCACAGTGTGGATTTTAACAAGTACTTGACCATCTCCAGGTGTTGGGACTGTAGATGATCCTAGAGTAAGATCTTGAAGACCGGACTGTTGGGTAGTCCATTGCTTGTTGATGGTTGGGAGTGACATGATTAATTCGAGATCGAGGGAATAAGGAAATAGAGGAAAGAGAAATACGAATTATGGAAAAAGGAATATAATATAATGAAGGAGAAAAAACAAAGATGGAAAATTTCAAATCCATCTTGAATTACAAAGATATTGCTCTTTGACCCACCAAAGATTCTTGCGATTAAATCATCGTTGTGGGGAAGCCCGAATTCCCGATGAATCTGGATTCTACACATTCGCCCCACACGTAAACGCCTCGGTGCATGAAGAACAATTTTAGATTCTCGCCCCATCAAATTAAGCAGATATAACAGATCTTGATGGCAAAGATGTTATTGTAATCATTCCCAAGTAACAATTGCCTCTACCTTGTCGTCTTATCGTCATCGTCATCATCATCACTATCTTCTCCAGCTCCCATCATTTCCAGCTCACCGTTCAACATCCTCTGCCAATTATCCGCAAATTCTCTCATACCACCCTCTCCACTTGCACCGGCTTCTACCACTTCTTGTGGCATCTTATGTGCACTGTATTGTGGACTTGAAAAGCTATATGCTTCTGGGTCATCTTTCTTTATTAATCTGAACTCGGGCATCCATCCGAGTTCCTCAACATCATCACTTCCCTCATCTTCATCACTACTTTGAGCAGGCAATGGCGGAACTGATGCTGAATCTGCCACACCAAGTAATGGCGAAGGTACAGAAAGGGTGAGTAGTTCTAGCCACGAGAACAGGAGTGGATCCGTCCGAGGAGCCCATGGATTTATATCCACTAGCCGTACTTTATCAAAAGGATCCGGTAGGTAAACATCAAATGAGAAGTTACGATCTGGAAAGGTATCTTTGAGAGTGTTATCAAAGTATTCTTGAATGACTTCTCTTAGAGTTGGAATAAGAGGAAATAAGAACTCAAAATAGTTCAGATCTCTTTGGCATATGCCAATGATTCTACGATCTCGTACGAAGCATCGAAATTCGCATGATGGATTAACTTTAAACCATTTCCGTAAGACTAAAACATATTGTGTATTTTCCTTCGTAATGGACAAATCCTCTGCACAACCGTCGAAAGCGTGTTCTAGATCGTGGGTAATGAAGTCGGAAGATTTAAGGAGAAGGTAAATGTCGTTTGGTGTATTGCATTCCATGCTATTCTGTTTTAAACTAATCCATGTAGCATCCTTCGGAGCAGACCAGTTGAGTTTGGGAACCACTGATCCCCCAAGTTCTGCGATTGTCTCTTGTATTTGCTTGTGAATCTCCGAGAATTTTTCCGAGGGGTCAGGACCCGTATCTGTATCTTCATCCCAGCCATCACTGGTTGAATTGTTGTTGTATGTTTCTGGTGGAGGAAATGTAGCAATCTCAGATGGAAGAACTATACCATCTTCCCGTAGATATGAAAGGAACTCTGAAGTGAGAGGGATGATTCGGGATTTGAGAGTTGAGGATCGATATCTTGATATTTGTTAGCAGTCTTCGGAGGAACGTATGGGAGCAGAAATCATACTTTGCATGCCAATTGTCATATGAGCAGTTCAAAATGTGGGATTTAGTGACAGGTTCGAATGGAAGTCTAGTGAGGGGTTCAGCCTCAGTGATTCCAGCTTCTGAACCTATGGGAGCCGGCATTTTTCGTGTAAGAATTTGACTTTTGTGAAAGGGTTTGGATTGATATGGAGACCTAGAAGAAGTGATTATATCTGAAGAACGTATATGTGGTGAGTCAGAGTGATCCCTTCACATCAATGTTCCATCTTATCGAGGGGCAATCAATATTTTTGGGAGATTCTGCCACGCTAGCTATAGACCGCCTGCAGTAGCAAGGATTTGTCAATTGTTCTCCACTCCACCCACCACCAGCTTTCTCCCCAGCCAGCAATCATCTGGGAAAGAACAACTACTATCACAACTTGAGCATTTGCAATCATGTCTTCCAACGTCGGTCTTACAACACCTAGAGGAAGTGGAACTTCAGGTTATGTCCAAAGAAATCTTGCGCATATCAAACCCCGCGATCAAGGCAAGCCATATCCTACGGATATCGACAGTCTTAGACACAGACAACGACAACCAGATAAAGGAATCCTTGAGCATGATAGAAAACGAGAAGTCGAGGTCAAGGTGTTTGAGCTGCGCGACAAATTAGAGGAAGAGGGGTACGTTTTTGGACACATTCATTAATCGCCCATGAGCTAATGATGTTTACAGAGTCGATGAAGAAGAAATTGAAATACAGGAAGAGGCATTGCGTAAGAAGCTATTGAAGGAGATGGAAAGAGGTAATGGACCAAGCAGGAAAGGTTTAAAGATGCATCAAGTCCATGAATTGGCAGAAGCAAAGATCAAGCAAGATAATAAGTTCAGGAGTGCCTTGGGTATTTCTAAGGACTACAAGGAGGGTGGCCACTGGCAGAAGCAGGAAGAGAGACAAAAAGCTGCAATGGAAAAGAATGGCGAAGGATCTGCAGCTCCATCCGATAGATGAGCGCAAAAAGACGACATACTAAAAAGGCATCGACTACATACCTAGGTATTGAACGATTATTCGGGGCGTTGCGCAATCAGCGAGCTGGCCTTCCGGATGGACTTATTGTTGGGATATAAATGGTTTTAATTATTTGTATTGGGCTGGAGCCCTACATCAATTGGTATGAATGTTCAAGGTTAGACATATACCCTCATAATTCCTTTCTCTATACATTCTAAGCTCCAAATATTTACAGCTTATGTTTCTTCTCACCACTTGCGATCTTTCTAAACTCCTCTTGTGGTATGCCAGCCACAAATCTTTCCAGCCCACCGAACACCTCCGCTACACCTTGTGCGTCAAGCAAATCCCTCTCTGGTTTTCTGATCAATGCCTTGATCTTAATCAAACTATCGCCGATCAAATGCGTTCCCAATCGATTATCTATCTCTTCGAATACCAACTCTTTGAACTTCTCGGTCTCTCCCTTTTGAACATCGAAAATCTTGTTCACGAACCCAACTTGCAGCAATTCCTCGGCAGTGATTCTCTTACTCATAATAAGGGCCTCATTTGCTTTGCTGATTCCTAAACGTTGGACGAAAGCTCTCGAAGCTCCTCCTTCTGCGACGAGCCCCAAACTAGAAAAGGGGGTCAAAAGGAAGGTCTGAGGCGTGCAGTATATGAAGTCTGAGAAAGCGATCAAAGCAGCTGAGAGCCCAACTGCAGGACCATTTAGGGCCGTTACAAGGATTTTTGGGTGTGTGTAGAAGGCGTTGGTTATGTTGAGGTTATTCGCGACGAAGCTAGTCAGCCAATGACGAGCTAGATCAGTTCCAACAGGTTTTTCTCTACTGATCGATACATCGGCTCCTCTATGGATTGATCAATATATGGCAACTACTAATTAGAGGAGAAGTCTTACGCTGAGAAGTATCGTCCTACGATTTTAAGTCAGCAAGGTCTCTCTCACAATTGATATTGCAGAACATACCCTTTCCTGTCAAAACCGTGACGAAAACTTCATCATGGGTAGCAATTTCCCTCATGAACTTCGCTATGAGATAATACCCATCTTGAGTCAAAGCATTAAGCTTCTTCTCATTATCAATAGTGATAACTGCGATTCTACCCTTGTACTCGAGAGTTACTGGTTCGTTTTGAGCCATTTTGAATGCTTCCGTGGTGATTTTTGGATTTTGGAATTGAAGAATGACACTTTACGAGTGCAATTAACCAACAGTTATGATATCAAGAAAGTTACAAATAGATCTCGAATAGTCCAAACAATGGGACCCAGCAAGCTATCAAGCTCATTTGTGGGGTAGCCGATTGCCTCGGTTTCCAAGAATGCGACCAGAGATTCGGAAAGCCTCACGCTAGAGGAGGACTCAACTATAAAAAGGCAAAGTACGGGACAATATTTGACTGAGTATTGTAAAATAATTCGATAGAGATATTGATAGTTTCAATTGTCAAACATAAATAAGAAGATTTAATTATCAAAACTATAATGGCTATTTAGATATTCTCGGCCGGCGCTCATTGACTATGGTTTGTAACCAAAGATTCGCATGATATGATTGGTCGATTGTAAAGTCTCGATACTCGCATGATTTTTTGTGGAATTTATATCGAACTTCGATTGTATTGTAGGAACAAGGGAAGACATCCACATAAATAATCTCATTATATCGCAATACAGACCACATACTACAATCATGGGAGGCCCCAATCTCGAAGTGTTCAAGGTAAGCATTACCATAGCCAATCCCAATTATTCATTTTGGCCCGTCCCATTGCCACCTTGAAATGCCCCTCCATGAATTATAATCTGACAATTCAATAGTTCGGCATGTATATCATGTTCCCAATCGCCATCATGTACTATTACGGTACAAATCTCGATCAACGATTTTCGGTTCCGGATTTCTGGCCAAGAGTTGATCAGACTAATCGTATACCGTTTGAGAGGGACGAGATCAAATCAGAGCTTGAGAGGTTAAGACAGAAGAGACTGTACTTGAGAGAGCAGAGGGTGCGGGGTGCCAATGGATCAAACGAAGAGGAGAAATAGGGAAGAAGATGGCTATGAAGAATGCAACAATAGAATAGTGGCATATGAAGGGAGTTGAAGGCAGAGAATTTTACGGAACGACATTGGTATAAAATGGGCTATAAGGCAGGCTGGCGTTCTATGAGCACACATAAGCAATATGTTGCAGGGCTGGTCTGGTAGAGAGGACTGGTAGAGGACATGCATATTTTGCTCGACTATTGCGGAGTTTCAAAGGATGGAGCCGAATTATTCAATCTTTCTTGAAGCATGGCTGAGGGGTGAGGGATGCTTTCTGCTTTAGTACAAATCCCTCCTATTGTACATCCTATTGTACATCCTATTGTACATCTAGTCTACATTCTACGTTTATATGCGTTTAAACTAAATATAATACCCCTCTCAATCAATCCAATCCACTGATCAAATCTTCCCATTTTCCGTCATCAATATTTCCCTGTACCACATTCGCATAAATTCCTTGAACATCGGAGTTGTCTCTCGTAGACTCAATGAAAGAAATGAGTCTATCCGTAGCCTCCCCAGCGTCGACTGGCACATTTGTATCTTCATTCGGATCCCATAGGATATCTGAACTTCCGATTTTAATGTCGAATTTCTTCTGTAGAGCGTCCCCAGCTACTGTTACCATATTTGGTTCCGTCCAAACGACAATATTTCCCTCATCGTCGACTTCTAAATCCTCTGCTCCTGCTTCGATTGCTTCGTCCATTACATCATCTACGCCTAGATTTTTCTCGTCTTTCTCGAATGTAACGCATCCTTTCTTCTGGAATAGATATGCAGTAGGTGTAACAGTTCCTCCATGAGTCTTTACCAGATGCCTTAGGTCCATCATAGTACGATTAACGCTGTCCGTTTCGGCTTCGATTATCATGGCAACTTGTGGCGGCATTATGCATTCTAAAGTTGCTTTCTGTAGCGCAGCTCCAGTTGTAGATTTTCCTTGTCCACGGGCTATGGCAGCTTCCATAGAAGCTTTTGGGAAACCAGCTATGGCATTGTAAGTATATGTATGTACATGTCGATGTCGAAGGGAGTGTACCCCGTTATGTACCTTTCTTCGCAGCAGCTAAGACAGACGCCAGTCTTGGATTTATGTATGGATCGGCTCCATGTACTTAAATTATAGGTTAGTATCATTAGCAGTATGAATGGTGTACCAGAAAACACACATTTTACAGCCAGCGCAATATCATGCGCAATGATAGAACGAGCTTTCGTCTTTTTTGCATCTACAGCACCCTTGTCATGCTTGATTTTCGACCATCGATTGTGACCTGAAGATACCGCTGACGTAGTGGAAAATTGTAGACATTTCGAACAGATAGAATCAGTTCGAAGGAAAGGTCTAAGACATCTAGAAAATGCTGGCATGTTTGTCATACCGAGAATGGAAATTTAATATTGAGTTGAGACTTAGGAACTGAGCTCTGAAAATAAATATTGTTGTGGCTTCCGATTGGCTGAAACTCGATCATCATCGCGAACACCTCTGGAAATTGGTACAAGTAAAGGAGCCAGCAATGAGGCCAGAACCACTCCACATATGTCCAGATTTCACAAGGACATTGAACACAACAGATACAACGGATAATAAATAATGTCATCGACAGGTCGTCCAAATTCTCATAATGGCTCAAGTGAACTTCCTGGCAGATTAGAGCCATCGCCCACCCCCGAGCTAGATATCAAGAAGCTCCAATCCCTCCCATCGGAACAACAAGACTTGTATCTCCTTAATTTTGTCTCGACGCTTACGAAACATGTGGAAGGCTTGGAACCAGACGACTGCACCGCCCAACAGCTTTACCTCAAGAAAGAACTCTTTCAAATCCTCAATCTCGCAGCTCCCCCTCCTACGAGAGTCATTCGAAATAATTTGGGACGATGTTTCGCACATGTGCTAGGGGGAGGGGATAGGAAATTGCTGTTCGAAACGATCAATGATTTGGTTACAATTATCAGTAATGGGAAGACAAAGACAGACGGGGATTTCAGGACGAAACATGCAGCTGTTTACTGTTTAGGGGATGTGTTCGCAGCCGCTGGAGACAGCGCAATTGGGTTACATTCTCTGGCATGCAGTGCTATACTTAAGCTGTTGAAGTCTGCGCAAAACAATGCGGGTCTACGAGCGGCGATATTCAAAGCTGCGAGCAAGATTGTAGGAATGGTTGCGACAAGTATGGACGACACAATCGCAAAGGACGTATGGAAACAAGCAAGAACTTATGCTTCGAGTGAGAAGTCAGCCTTGGTGCAGATAGCTGCATGTAAATGCTTGAGGAGTCTGTGTAAGAATACGCAGTACTATGATAATTCCAGCGATTTCGAAAGTTTAAAGTCGACGATCTTCAAGACTATAGATTCGCCCAGCGCATTGGTTCGACAAGCCGCAGCAGAATGTTTGGCAGAGGCATTAGTGAAGAGTCATTCTGAGGAGCCACCCCGGGATAATGATATACCAATAATTAAGAAGATCAAAAGGGCGAATACCAATAAACGTTCATCCGTAATAGCTGGCCAGGGGCTTGACGATGATGAAATGCCCTCGAGGCCTGGGACTCCCACCGGCAACAAGAAAAGTCAAGTACTCGTTCTGACACTGCAAGAGATATTGAAAGTGTTGTCAAATCAGTATATCAAAATATCTACAACTAACAGAGCTCGCGCCGGAATAGCTGTCTGCTATAGTCGTATATTCAAAAGTATGAGCGAAAGAACGGTTGAGACGATGTATATGCAGATTGTGGATCATCTTACTGTGGAGCTTCTAAGCCATGCAAACATTACCTGTAATAGATATCGTTTGTTAACCACACGTAAATTTGTGCAAATCATCCTCGAAGATGTTGTCGGCCATTCCATACTGGGCGAATCGGGACAATTGGACGCCGCAAAGTCCTTGGTCAATGACATTCTGAAAAATTACCCCCAAGTCATCAAAGAGAGAGCTGAGCCTTCGAAACATACACTTATTGCCACTCTAAGCGCATTGGCATCGTTAATTCAAACTTTGGGGTCCGCTGCGAATGTAATTGCTGAAGGTTGTCGGGATGGACTATTGCAAGTCCTTCAACATCCAAGTTACACGGTACAAATATATACATCATATTGTTTGCGAACCTTTACACTGGCCTGTCCCCAACAACTTCTACCATGTCTTACCATTTGCATGAACAGCGTCAACCGAGAATTGAACTTGTTGAATACAGGACGAAACTCACCTAGACGATGTGTTGGGTATGCCAATGGGTTGTCTGCCATGATTAGCACAGCAAACTTACAACCGCTTTACGGCTCCGTCGATGTTAATAGTCGCGTGCTTTCTCTCGCGACCAATCTTCTCAAGTCCAGTAGTAAATCGGAATTGCGTGTCTCAAGCACTCAAATTCAGGTCGCTTGGATCCTTATAGGCGGGTTGATGTCGTTGGGACCGAATTTTGTGAAGATTCATTTGTCTCAATTACTTTTACTATGGAAGAATGCATTGCCAAAGCCTCTTGCGAAGGATAATACCTCTCAACGAAGTTTTCTCGAATCCTCCTTTCTCACCCACGTTAGAGAATGTGCTCTTGGCTCTATTCTGGCGTTCCTACAATTTAACAGCCGCCTCCTAACTGCAGACGTTTCGAAGCGAATTGCTGCCATGCTCACAAATACTTCAGCGTTTTTGAAGAGTCTCCCATCGAAGAAGTTGTCGGATGATGTCACACAACGATTGACTCCGTCGTTGCAATTGCAAGATCTTGATTTGATGGTTCAGCGTCGCGTTCTTCAATGTTATGCGAGACTGGTTACGCTTAGTCCAGTCGGCGGAAGTGAAGCACTACTACAATCGAATCTTCTCACGCTTGCTGTATCATTCTTTGCCGATCCTGAAAATTATAGTCCGAGTTCCTTATCTACGTCCATTGCGAGCTCAGCAGGTAATTTCGAAACAGTTTGGGACGTTGGAGATAATTCTGGCTTTGGAGTCACAGGCCTTGTTCGAGGCTTCAATGTACAAAAGCTGGCTTCTGAACAAGAGAATGGATCTCAAGATGACTGGATAAAAGAAACCGGATCCGATATTGACATATCAAATGTCTTGTTATCCCCTATTTGCAGCTCCCTCGAGCACGACTCCATTTCACTTTATTTGGGCGATATCCAAAAGGAAGATAGTCTACCAGACCCGCCCGCTACAGAAGTTGTCAACATCGCTATTAGGCTATTCGCAATTGCTTTCCCAATTACTCCCCCCAAAATCCAGGAGAGTATACTAGAACAGATCGCTACGTTCTTATCCACTGGTGCACTCCAACGAGACCCTGGACGTAAGGCTGCTATTAATGTCAATATTGCGACTGCGTTGTTTTCCGCGCTGAAAGTGGCTGTGAAGGAGACATCATCTCCCCCTGGCGACCTCACCAACCCTGCTGTGGAGAAGCTCATGCAAGAAATTCTTAGGTCATTTGTTGTCCATCAAGATCAATATGTACGCAACATTGGCTATGAGTCCCTAGCTCGACAGTGCAATATTTCTGGTAATACATATACCAACTCGGAAATAAAACACCTCATTGATACCATTGTGAGCAACCGTGAGCCGAGCGCCAGAGCTGGTTGTGCAATGGCACTTGGGTGCATTCATTCTCAAGTCGGAGGAATGGCGGCAGGCTTTCACTTGAAGACGATATTGGGAATTTTGATGTCATTGTGCAATGATCCACATCCAACTGTTCATATCTGGGCACTCGAGTCACTATCACGTGTCGCGGAATCAGCTGGTTTGACATTTTCAGGTTATGTATCGAGTACACTTGGCATGCTGTGCCAATTGTATGTTTCGGACACACATAACGAGGAAATTTCTTCCCTGGCTACTTCAAATCTAGAATTGGACTTATCTACAACTGCTGTTATTGCACGTTGCATAGATTCTTTGGTCAATGTTCTTGGCCCTGATCTTCAAGACATGACCAAAGCTCGAGACTTGATACTTACTATGGTAGGACAGTTTGGGGCAGAAGAAAACATCCTGGTCTTGGCTGGTAGCTTGAAATGTCAAGAACATCTAGCTCTATATGCTCCAGGTCACATGGAATTCGTAGATTATGTTGTCCTCCTCCAGAAAGATCTCAAATCTGATATTTCTTTACTAAGAGATATCGCCATTGACGGTTTGTACAATCTCATGAAGCGCAATTCGGAGGATGTTGTGAAAGCGGCCGAGACTGGCTTTGAAGATCAACTTTGGCTGGCCTTAGATTCAGACCCCGCACATGACGGTATCAGGAATGTTATTCGAAATTGGTTACAACAATCTTGCTTGACAGAGACTCCACGATGGCTACAAAGATGCCAAACTGTCCTATCAATGACGCGACCCAAAGCAGAAGATTCCACGGCAATATCTGCAAAGGTTAGTGCCATGCCTGATTTGCAGGATGAAGAAGTAGCAGGTTTTGCAGCTGCTTCTGGCATGACCAAAGATACGAATGCCCCTGCTGCGGGTCAAGAGCCACTTAGATGGCAGGTTCGAACATTTGCCATGAGCTGTTTGGGAGAAATTTTTGCATTGGTGAGCAAGGATCTAGCAGCCAATGGTAGTTCATCCGCGGAAGTTGCTTTACAAAAGAGGGTAGCCGATGTTATTCGAATGGCATTTTCTGCCTCCACATCTAATGTTGTCGAGCTCCGAGTCTGGGGTTTAAAGATAATCGATGCAGTGTTGAAGATGTTTGGTCATACACCAGATCCTGATTTTGCCGAAGCGCCACTTCTAGAGCAATATCAAGCTCAGATTAGTTCTGCTCTTACGCCAGCTTTTGCCGCCGACTCCTCGCCCGAATTAGCTTCTGAGGCTGTCAACGTTTGTGCGGCTTTCATTGCTACCGGTATTGTTACTGATGTCGATCGAATGGGTCGTATTCTCAAAACTTTGGTGACTGCACTGGAGAACTTCTCGACAGAGTCTGAAGTTGCATCTATTGGAGATCTTAAAGGCCTCAGTTCTAATGCTCAGGTTATGGTCAAGATGGCGGTTTTCTCTGCCTGGGCTGAGTTACAAGTAGCCAGCACAGAACAGAAGTATCTTGTAGATGTTCTCAAACCATATATTGGTACATTGACTCCATTATGGCTTGCTTCATTAAGAGAATTTGCACGTTTAAGATTTGAGCCAGATATTTCGATGAGCTTGGGTCCTCCATCGTTGTCTGGCAGTTTAGATAGTATCTATTCTGCATTGAACAGAGAGACGTTACTGAGGTTTTATCAAGATTCATGGCTCAAGCTCGTTGACGCTATCGCTAGTCTTATTGAACAGGATAGTGAATTCGTATTCAATGCTCTTGATGGCAAGGAAGCTGATGCTCCTTCGACAAATGGAAATTCGAAAGGGAATGACATCAACTACCGAGACGAACCAGTGGCATTTTTCTTCGTTCTTTTCGGAATTGCGTTTGAAGCACTCGTTGCTAAACCTGGAAGTGAGGCCCTGGCATCCAAGGGACAAACACTCGAAATCTTGCAGGCTTTGAAGAAAATCTTGCATCCTAGTGTGTCTGGACATGCGATATATAGAGAGGCAATATTCTCGGAAACTATGGATCTACTAGATCGACTTGTTCTCACCGAAGGACTTGATGTTCAGACTGTTATTGTGCAGATCGCAAGAAGTCTGTGCATTTCTCATCCCTCGGCCACCAAGGCGGACGTGGCTGAGGGTGAGGATTTGTCGGAGGATATCGAACAGCTTTTTGAACTGACTAGAATTATTGTTTTGGTACTTGCTGGTCTGCTACCAAATTTGATTGAAGCACAGCAACCAGCTCGTCATCCACTAACAGATGAAGCTGTCTCTCTGGTCAGAGTGTCTCTCAATGCATTGGTTGATGCTGCCGAAGTGTTCCCGTCGATCATTAAAACAGATCTGCACGCTTGCATTATTCACATATTTGCTACCATCCTTGGAACAGGAAGTTGTCAAGCCGTGGTAGTTCCTCAATCACTCCCAATACTCAAACGATTCATCACAAGTGTCTCCGCATCGTACAAAACACAAAATCCTAAACAAAACACCAGCATCATACAATTACAAGGTTGTCTCAAACGATTCTTATCGATATACATGAACGCGCAAAAGCGAGAGACAGAAGTATCTCTACCATGTGTCAAAAATTCTCTTCTTGCTTCAACCTTATTGCTTACTAGTGGGGCAAACCATCTATCTGCTAGCGAGCCCCTTGTCACTCGTTTCCTGGATGAAGTCGTAGATTGCTTGAGTGATCGAATGGTAAGATACTTTTTCTCAAGGTGTGAACTTTGCTAACATAATTTCACAGACCGCAAAAGTAGCAGCAAACTGTATTCGCAGTCTCCTTCTCACAAACCCCAAAACACCAGCAGATCAAAGCATCGCGCGTTATCTTTTACCCCTCCTGATAACTTTCAGCACAAATACCGCAGCTGAAGACCCCGAAAACGCCAGAGCTCTCACATTGCATGCTCTAACAGCATTCGTGGTGTCACTTGATGGCAAACAAAGAGCAGTAGCTATGTCTGTAGTCATACCTACGTTGTTGAAACGTGCGAATGGCGACGGAGAGAAAGTTTGGAAGGAAACTAATGCAAGATTGCTTGAGATGGCGGCGGCTGATCCAACAGCTTTTAGAGCAGTAGTTGGAGGAATGACGGCAGAGCAGAAGGGGTTTATGGAGGGAGTTCTGGTTAAAGGTAGAGAGGGTGGAAGGGGGAAGATTGATGAGGATGAGGAGGGGGGAAGAGAACCAACGATTGCTTTGAGGATGGATTTTGGAGGATAATGGAGAAATGGGTTGGAGAGGACAATGGATGAGAAAGAAAAGGAAAGTAAAATGTTAAGTTTGCATAGAGTGGAGTAAGGATTGTATGTTGGGATGATTATGGGATGTGGAAATAGCATTGAATGATAGGATGGGATAGATATTAATATTAAGCGGGATATTATTCTGCGGTTAAGCAAAGGGAAGTGGTATTCTCAAATGCGCCTATCCATGTCTTGTTGTGTGCTGTTTCTCCTGCTTGAGAGTCCTTCCTGCTATGCTTCGTGTCCAACTTAATATCTGAAACACCATAATCAAATCTATATCCCGTCCCGTCTAATTACTTCCAGCGCAATCTCCTTTCCCTTGGACCCGTCTAACACCTCAAATCTCAATTACATTCATCTCTGACTGGAAACCCCTCCTTGACTCATTCAATAATCCATCTCCTGGAATCTATCGTCTAATCATCCTCCGTTCCCACTCTATCGTCTGACTCTCGGTTCTGGTAGGCGGAGAGAAGAAATCCGCGGGGCCGTTGCCGGTTCTGGCGCTTTCGGGGTAGCTGAGCTCGAAGTGGAGGGCGGAGAAGGGCTTTTTGAGGGAGCGCCAGATGGAATTGAGGGTGAAGGACATGGTTTGGTTTTTTAATTATGATTATGGTTTTGGTTTTGGTTTTGGTGTAGGAGGATGGTTCTGAGGAATTAAGAGAAAGGAGATGAGATGGTTTAGTGTTTTTAAAGGTTTGATTTTGAGGTATGGTGTGATGTTGTGTAACGTGAGCTGACGAGGTGATTGGCGACAACTGTCCTCGCTGTTCTCGGAGTTGAGGAGATTGAATTGGGAATTATATCTCGCAACTTAAAAAGGAGAACGCAGCTAGTATATATACCTATCTATATCTCTATATCCAACCCTACATAAGTACTCGTACATGTCTGAACCGAGCCATACCCGAAATCCCCCTGTCTTTTCTCTCCCAACCCGAGAAGAAGAAAAGGAAAAAAAACCAAGCCCCGAGAATCGCAATTTTCATATCCGAAAAATTTGAGCACAATGGCATAGCTAGCATGCAAAAAAAAAATCTTTAAAAAAAATCTCATGATTTATCTTCTCGTCACTTATCGAGTCATGATCTGAATGGTCAGTTGTATCGCCACATACCGAGAATTCCCCATTTTTTTACCGAGATGTTGCATATTTTGGGGGTGAAAATTGAGATGGTTTCTCGATGATTTTTGGTTGGAGAGGGAAATTTTTCGGAGGTTTGATTACGTAGTTGGTTTGGATTTCGGGTAGGGTTGCGCTGTGTTTTATATTTTGGTGGGATGGGTGTAGGTGTTGGGGTTTCGGACGAAAGGAAGAGACGTCGAGGTAGGATAGGATGGAAAGAGCGGGTCGGAATATAAGGGGATATCATGTGATTCTCGGAGTGACATGTAGTAGCTTTGTGTCATTAATAGATTATTTATTGTTATATTGATTGATTGGCATTAAGGGAAATATTGATTGTTACGGGATGAAAATATCTGTTCGCATATTCCAGTGTGCTTGTCGCTTGTGCCGTTTGAATGTATGTAGCATCACAAAATATTCGTCAAAGTGCTCTTGTTTCAACGTCTGGGATGGCTATTTCTCGATGGTAGACTAATGTTTATATTTAAGGTTATTTTCTACTAAGCTTTGAATGTATAATAACTTGTCATTTTTGACCTTTCACCATCAATGTCAATTTTGATGCTCTGTGTTGCTAGCTCTTGTTTAGCGTTGAACTCTGAATATGTCCCGCCACAGATAATGCACTCAGTGAATTGTCTTATAAGCACAGCTACCCATGTTCCTGGTATCACATTCTCCGTGGAACTCAACCCGAGATAGGAAATCGTGTGTAACAATGTGCAAGGCCTCACATGTTCAAAATCATTTATGAAAAGAGAGAAGACAAACTGGCAAATAATTGTGGAAGTATAAATGGGTGTTTTGCTGCTTCAGAAAGAACTATGAAAAACGGCGCACATGACTCGAATCTATCTCTGTGTAGGTAAGAAATCTCTAAACACAATACTAAGATACCCCTTCCACAATATCCGCCATTCCTCTTCCACCAAACATCGGCAGTGACATCTGAACGTAAAGATATCACTTTACCGTTCGAACCTGCTGTTCATTTGTATCATCAGTGGCTTGTCTCTGTATACTCTGACAATAGATATGTTAGAATAATTTTTAGAGATATGAAGAATCATGAGCTGGGGTTTGCTAATTACTAACCGCATTGACAGCCTTCCGCTCTGCGACATAGATTCTGCAATCTTCTCTTCCCTTTTCAACGTCTACAAACCATATGATGATACTCGCAAAAGCACATAATGCGAACAGGAATGGAAATCCCATCCAGTTATTATTGGTATGATTGACAATGGCTTGGATGACGTTTGGGCCGAGGATTGAAGACTGGTCGATTAGTTGAAAGTCATGAAGCATCGTCAGGGACTGGAAAGAATACGAATCACATACAGCTTTATTTGTAATACCAAATAACCCAAAGAACATCCCCTCATATCCTCTAGGAGTAACCTCACTCATCATTGTTTGAGAGTATGAGAAATACGGTGCTTGAAATAATCCAAAAACAATGTTATAAACCCAAAAGTCGTAAACATGGTGATAGCCTATCTTGTCAGTCCATAATCCGATCACACCATATAGCGGAATTAAAACACTAAAGATGTTGGTGATGATGAACATGGGTTTGGTTCGAATGCCAAAATACTGTTGAATGTACCAAAATGAGAAAGTGGATATCGTGGAGGTGACAGCTTGTGCAAGTCCAAGATACGTTAATTGGAGAAAAGAGAAAGAGATGACTTCGTTCTGAATAATAGAGACGAGAGTAGTGGTCGTATTTAACCCATCAGCAAGCATGAAGAATGCGAGTAGATAAGTGAACGTTTGAGGAAGATGACGAATCTCGACAAGGGCGAGATAGACTTGTTTCCAGCCGATGGTCCATATTGAACTACCTTTTGGAATAGGTGGTCCAGGACGTGATTGTTGGAAAATAAACCAAGGAAGGCCAAGAACGACCCAATCTGGGTAAGTCAGATAAGATGATCTTTTGAAGAGAAGAGAAGAGAGACTCACATGAGTTTGTGAGGCACAATGCAAGATTGTTAGCAAAAGAATTTCCCTGCATCGGAATCAGGACAGAGAGGCTGAGTACTAGTACAAGAACGTATCCGATACTGGCATGGGCGGTAGATATATTACTAATATGGTTTCGTTCCATACTTTCTATCCTATCATACTCATCTTGATTTATACTTTCTTCTTTAAGTTCTTCATCTCGAGCCTTTTGAACATGGGGCATGTAGCGGGCTAGTCTGGGAAACAATGCATAATAGAACACCAATGATGCCTGTTACAATGTAACGTTAATATAAACACTTCAGATAGATTAATGAGAACACTAACGCCGTATGAAATGTATGATACAATATACAAAGCCATGGCCGTGGGCCACTGTTCTGGCTTCGTAATGGCCATCATCCCGTATTGGAAAACCCAGCACTTAATCTGTTAGTGTAACCTTCATGGGGGTAATTGCCACTTACGATAACAGTAAGAAATAGCAGTATCCATCTCCCAAAATGCCCATAGTCTGCAACCGACCCAAAAGCCACAAATATGACAGACATAATGGTGAAGCAAATTCCATTGGCAAGCAAAACCACACTAGATACAGATCTTGTAGTAGTACCCCACGGGATTACACAACCTCCTGTGGTACAATTACCTATTTGGGCAGGTGTAATGGCGGGATCCCACCCAGCTTTACTCAGAGCATTTTGAAAAAGAGCTTGAGAATAACTTTGCGGCCCTACTCCATTGTTTCCCTAAGAATTAACAGTTAAATAACAAACAAGCCCTACAGTGGATCGGCGCTCACATTGTAATAAAGATAATATGACCATAACTCCTTTCTCGAGGTTGTAGGCTGACTAGATGATTCTTCGTCGATACCGAATAGTTGTTCATATTTGTTGAGGTTTTTCTTGATGCGATCAGACTTCGTCCCATCGATATGTATTCCATTGCCGCTCATTTCGATGGCGTTATCTTCGATTTCATTGACCTCGGGAGAGCCCATACTTGCTCTTCTTCTCAGCAGTGGCTGTCTCGAAAGACTCCGTTCTCTAGAGGAGGAAGCCATATTGTTTATAAGTGCTTCTCATCTCTCGAAGAAGCCTTAGCTAGTCTCTCGTCGTACAAAACGCAATGTCGCGTTGCATTTCGTAAGATAATGTTATCATGTCGCACCCGGCCTCGCTCTTTTACAGATAATAGAGTTAACCTATCAAGTAGCAAAGGCTGGCTGAGGAGACAGATATGTTGCAGGCGTGATTGTATTCAGACGACACACTTCGGTCGTCGGGCTTCAGCCAAGTTGTCTCGGCCGATCTCCGGTCACATCACGTGACCCTTCTCCTCAACCTCCCTATTAATTTAATCTTTGTGTGTCAGGTCAAAACCTCTTCTGTGCGTGATCTTTCACAACTTTTGCAGGCAAGGATGCCTTGGGCTGCTTTTGAAATGCGAAGTTACACTGGGAGCTTTGAGCCTCGTGATTAAATAACACGGAAGGACACCGACAGTTCTCTCTTTGCAAGCTTCACTAGACACACTTAAAATAACAGTGCCAAAATATAAGGGATCAGCAACTAGCCGATCTTCAGATCAAGAGCTGAAGGAGAAGATTGGACAAGTATGGTTCATCCTTGTAAACTCTCTCAAATTCATGCCAATGCTTGCCAATTTCACTGCTCTCAATCTTTCGAATATCATGGGATCGATGGACGGGCGGATCGACCACGTATCCCACAGGTGATGGCGCAATCAAATTCCTCGCTGATTCTAATGGTAACTTAGCTTTTCATAGTTACCGTCAATAGTCATTTTGTCGATGAAGATATCGAAACTCTGACCAAAGCTTACAAAATTGGAAACGTCATACTTTTCCCATAGAAACATCTCTACAACGGTGAGACTTTTTCGACCAACGGCTCCATAGCAAGATCTGGTTGATAGTTATGGATGTTCTTAGACACTCTTTATCGCAATCGATCAGGGAGATGGGCGAGTGGCTCGCATCAATCCGTCTCTTACAACACAGCTTCCTGATTCGATGGCTTTTGGTGCGACCGGTGATCAGTCAAATGCATCTGATGTTGCTGAACTTATAATAATTAATACTGAAAGAACATCAGCATGGACTATGCGCCCGTTGCGAATAAATATCTGGAACCAAAGACTTCAATCATTGAAGTGAGATCATTCTCGGGTGACCCAGAGACAGTTAGAAGATTTGTATAGGCGCAAGTGAAAGGTTTGCAGCAAAACGGCATGGTATCTTGCGCTAAGCATCCCCCTGTTCATGACAATACGGCAGATGACTCTCAATATGGACTTCTAGCTGTCCTTAAGAACAAGAATTAATTAGAAGCTTACAAGCTGGTTCCGTTCCGGCAAGCCATGAAAGCTGCTGCAGATGCTATTATGGTGGCTAAGATATCTCTAACCTGGTCATAGAACACCTTTAATGTAGTCATGGACGACTTACGTGCCAATTTGAGTCC